ATAGCCCCCCCCCCCCACCAGGTCGCGGGTTAAAGTCCTGCATACACGAAGCATACCTACTTTATTTCTTCGGAGTCAAAGATTTGCAATACAGAAAATTAATTTGTGGATAAGAGCGTCTTGGTATGATAGGGATTCACTTAGCTGAATGCATATGAATTTCTAGTTTTTGTAAAGGTATTTGAGACTTTGGGCAATTTGAATACACGGGTATCCAACATCTCTTTTATCGTGATCAAAACCACCCAGTAGACGGGCATCGTGACCAAGATTACTTTCGTGACTGCCATCAGCGCTCGTATGTCCGGCAGAACATTGATGAAGCTGGCAGGTGCATGGTTTCACCGTCGGACCTCATTTTCGCGCCATGACAATGGCCGTCACGTCTCAGCCAGTAGGTATCGATTCCCGAAGCTGCTCGGTCGGCGAGAGCCGCGGTGCAGTTCGACGGCCCCGAGAGCTCGATACCCTCTCAGTCGTTCACTAGTTTACAGCGGAACGGCAGATATCGGGGTGCCGTGGGCCACAGAGGAGATAAGACATTTCTGTATATCATTCATTTACTCACTTGATTTGGTTTAGAGGCCGTTTTCCATTATTTCCTTCTTCCTGATTTTTAGTTATTTTCTGGTGACATTCTTACGGTAAAGTAATTGTTTGAACCCCGGATTGGGAAAGTTTTCACTAGCATTTAGTTTGTGTCCGATAATTAACCCATGAGTGGCTTGGTGGCTATTATTCCGGTAAATTGTGTCATGTGGGAGCACCTTTTAAAACTTCCCGTACCTCCAAATGCCGTCAATATGCTGAAATGATGCCTTCATTCGCAGTTAGCTTATTGATGTCATTAGTTTCGCTAGAGCCAGTTTGTGGCCGGCACTAGGGCCAATTGCACCTCTAGCAGACCACGAAACAGCACCGTCACGAGAAACCCGTCACGGAGCATCACATGTGACACCGTCACGGCGGATGTCACAGCAGACACCTTCACAGCCAGCGTCACGGAGGTACCGTCATGGCAAGCGTCACGGAGGCACAGTCACGACAGGCGCGGTCACGGAGACGCGGTCACTGAGAGCGTCACGAGAGGCACGGTCACGGTTGACCGGTCAGCTAGTGGCTGGGGGCGGGCGGGGACCGATGTTTGGCAGACGGAGAAAGTGCTCCTCTGTGTCAGCCCGTCGGCCGCAGCTGGGAGGAGGTCGGCCACGGTGTCAAGACAGCGCGACTCGAGCAGAGGTGCTATTGTGGGGAGGACTGACACACGGGGAAACGGGCGACAGCGGTGTAACGGGGAACAAAGACCAGCCCATGGTGTTAACGGGCAGACGGCGGGGTAATGTCACGGGAGCTGGTCACCTACTGACGGAGAGTGGTGGGGCGGGATGGAGTTGTGAAGCAGCAGTGTACGTACCGCCGATAACTCAATAAGCAGCATTGGACAGCATGGATATAGCCAGCGGCCATGGGGTTGGTAAAATCAAGCCTGTCTGCGAGTTAATGCATCACAAACAGAGATAAGGAAGACGAGAATGGCGTCAGACCACGTTCAGTGGCGCCAAAAGTCAGGGTTTGGAATCGATCAGGACGGGCAATACCTCAATCTAAAGATAATTACGACTCTATCCCTTTATATAATCTCAACTAATATGCTTACATTTGGAACACCTGCTAGATGATCGGACAGGTCTACCATTATTTTTTTTTAACCCTCGCCGACACGGGGGGGGCGATGCAGCCCCCCTAAGGTTTTTCGCGAATAACTCGCGTAAAAAGCGGCCGATCGCGACGAAACTTTCAGTACCCTCGCGTTGATAAATTTTACACTTACCCTTAAAACTAAATGACCCTGACCCAAAGGACCTTTAACCTGTGACCTACTTTCCGAGACCATATTTGGCCGGAATCGCGATTCGGCGTATGTATGTCGGCTCGCATTAACCGCGTGTTTGCAAGCCTTTCGTGGTTTCAAACCTCCAAAAATGTGAATTGATGCTGCTCCCATGCATTAGGGTGGATGTCAAGGTCACCTGAAGGTCAGGTCAGGTCATTGACCTTTGGTGACCTCGGCTCACTTTTTCGAGTTTTACATGTTTCTAGGCTAGTTTTTGGAGCTGAATTCGAATTTAGCAACCATTTTAACATTTACGAAGTAGTTTTTGTGCCTTCGTAACATGTAACGAAGCTGTCAGAGGCGGTTGACACGTACTACGAATACCCGGCAGGACCCCTACTGGTTGACCTGACCTGACCTGACCTGACCTGGCCTAAATGCATGAAGACATCATCATCATATGTGATCAAAACTAACACGATGTTCGTGATCAGCACCCCGAAAAACCTCACAGCAGCCACACTTAACGACTTTCTAACAGGTCCCGATTTTCCCGACTTTTGGGTTATTGACTTGACCTGGAAGGTCAACCGATGACCTAGGACCTTAAAATTGAGTATCACTGGCTTCCTTTCGTGACGGGCATCACGCTCGTTTTTTTTTTGCGAAGCTCTAGCTCGATCAGGGGCGAAACGCGAGGTTTTGGCCCCCTTGTGCCGTCGAAGGACGCAAAATGGCCTGTGCCGGCGAGGGCTAAGTGAATGTGCTTTATTGAATGTGTTAACGAGATAGCGTTTCCATTAGTATTGCTCGTCGCATGCATTCATCACTTGTATGTGTGTATTATAGGGAACATTAAGAACGGCTGGCAAACATATACTACACATATGTACAGTAACGCTGCAAAGGGGCTGAAATATGGATAAAATAAAACAAAAGCTGACGCTTGTTGATATGCACGTTTCGAGGAAGTGGTGGTCATTGCCTATTGTCTGGTTAACGCCCTTCCATTTGAATCTAAATTAACCGCTGGTGATTACCTTTTCGGAGTACCGCACGATTAAAATCTGGTAGCTGCAACCACATCCTGTCATTGAAGCATCGTCATGGCTCCAAAAGACGGGAGGACACGCAACGCCGAAGAAATTACTTTGGTTCCATTTCACCGTAGACGGACACCGTAAAATTGCCTGTGACGTTATATCTGCCCACGCGGGCATGACCAGCAGCGCTATAAATTGTTTCGATGTAGCGTATCCATTGGTTAGAGGAGAGAGACTTGGGGAAATGGCTCACTGCTTTTCACTAAGCAAGCCATTCGCTTTCTGAGCTGTACTTCGAGCCTTCGGCTATGCTTGGGCAAGCACGCTAGTCTCTAAGCTTATGAAGCTGGTTCTGGTTGGTAGAAAACGACTCCCTGAAGACATATTTTCACGTCATCGCTCACACTCGCAAACCATTGCGTGAGCTGATAATTGAACCGTGTGATACGACGAAAGCAGGGACAGTTTCATGGCTGTTCGATGGCTGACTGTGAAGCCATTACCGTTCTGTGTGTCAGCTGCAGGTTACTGAGACGCTTTTGTAGCGTTTGTAACGCAATTATGAACAGAAAATCGTCAACAGACGACTTACGGACAGCCACATTTATGATGGTTGAATGTGGATGGTTCATCCATCCTATCAGGTGGCTAAAGTTAAATGTGTGACGATCAGAGGTGGATCCAGCTCAGAGTTTTTTTTGGGGGGGGCAAACCATAACAATTTATCGATTCTTTCCATGCCTCGCCCATAGGCGTAATGTTAAAATTATTCCATTTGGGAGGGGCAAATGCCCATTTTGCATTTTGCCCCCCCCCCCTGGATCCGCCACTGGTGACGATTCGGTTCTGTATTTCTAAATCTGAGATGTCTCACTTGTCGTGCTTGTCAGCGCCAGCGGTCACTCCATGATGTTATGAAGCCGTCCGTCACTGTCACGTAGTTATGCCGGTTTGACGAAGACTGTCCAACTAACAGGGCGGCGAGGTCGTGAACAGTCGTTTCGCTAAAATTTGTCTTTAAAAATACATTTAACTTTTAAACGTGATTGGACTTAAAGCAAGCTTTATGTTGTTTTATAAAGAAAACATGTGATCGCTCGTGTTATGATTACATATTAAATGTAAACAATTATTAGTTTTCATAAGTCACTACCTAGTCAGCGTTCAAATAACTATCACCGGCCACACCCAACTCCACACCATACCATCGTTAGATCGGTCAATGCGACATCGACAGCACGGCTTTCCGCAACTGAGAGTACCTACCCATCTGAGCGTGACGGCGGGTCGCGACCGCTTTCAGCCGAGTTCACGTGCACAGGGGTGACAGCCGTGGGTCACGGTTGGACGAGTTTGACAGCGGCCTAACCCGCTTCCAGCCCTGCCATGGTTCGGTCTTACCAGTGAGTGAGAAGAAGACACCTATTTGACTTACGTCGAGCTAAGGGTGGCCCATCGTTACAAAAAAACAACAACATGCTGTCTATAGCATTGCGAGATCTATCGACGGAGCTTCTGTGCGCAACTGATGGCCATAATTTAGCTAGCAGTTTAGACTGCAGTCTATCCTGTAGTCTGCGCTCACCTGACCCGTCTATGTATGTACTGGCATTCGGCGAAGCACCGGTTATGGACCTGCTGAAACCGCGCGATGAGGCTTCGCTCTTACACCCGAAGGCTTTTCCATTGCGAAGCAGGCACGGAGTGGCTTCCATACTGTGACAAATTACAGCTTGAGAGCCGGGCGTTTCCACTGAAACATGTAATATGTATGTGAGAAATGCTGGGCTCTTGACTTACACTTTTGTTGATGATTTTATTAATGCCAACTTGTCACTACTCACTTATCAGCCTTTTCTATGCTTACCCTGTGTCCCTGTCAACAAACAAGTTAATTTACATACATTTTATGTTAATATGAATTAGTTTTCATAGATGTTTTTGAATGTTTTAGCGACAGAAATAGCAAGTAAAAAGGTAACAAAAAGAAACGATAATGCCATTGGCTTGAAACGTAGGCATTTATAATTCAAAATTAGATATTTTTTCCTATGTTGAAGAGAGGATGAAAAAAGAGAAGGGTGCGTGATCTTTTCACATAATAAATCACGAACGGTAGCTTTTTTGGCACAACAACGTGCAATCGAAGACATCACCTAAGCAGCTAATCCCTACCGATGGGCTAGATAGATACACATCCTTGCAGGGCACCACGCCCCTTAGTCTCGCTGCCGCTGCTCTTTTCTCGTCGCCGGGGCGCCACGAAACGTCTCCGCCTCGTTCAGCAGTGCACCTCCCGGCTGAACGACTGACTGGAAAGCTGGGAAAACGCCGCCGAGACGAGCGCCGAGCTATAAATGAGCGCTGGGAAAGCGGTGAGGGTAGCACTGTGAGCTGCACGCCCGAGCTCGACAGACATGGCCTCTCTCAAACTGGTGAGTGCCGGTGCCCTCGTACAGTCAGCCAAGCGGAGTGATGTAGAATGGAGCAGTGGGTGTGGTAGTTACGGACGGTGATGTGGTCGTGGCAGTGATATTGCAGTGGTTACCTGAACAGTGTGCTGTCGAATACGCCAAGCTGGTGGTATAGGGCTACATTTTAGTTGATGTTGTGATACGGTTTAGTGGAACGAAGCACAACCAAAACCGCCTAAAGTGATTGTGAAGTTGGAATGCGATTGCCTCCTTTTTACTTCAGTGATTTGTGATTTTTAGAACCAAACTCTAATTACGACATGAGAGTTTGCTTCTACGATCAGATTTTCTTATTCTTATTTGTATCTTTTATGACTGAGGCAAAATCATTTATTTACCGCTTTGCAACGGTCTGACATGTGCCGTCATTATCCTCTTGAACCCATTCTGACCCTTTTGACCGCTCTGACCGCATCGGGAACCCCTATGACCGGTTCCATGGCTCTACCGCTCGTGTATCTAATATCAAGGGACCCATACTGACTCGCCACCCGTTCTGTCCGACAGTTGGCCCTTGGCCTGCTGGCGGTGGTCGCCGTCACCGAGGCTCTGCCCCGACCGCAGGCCGCCACTCCCGAGGACGTCCCTGTCGGTGAGTGACCTGCTCAGGTCAGGTCAGGTTAGGTCAGGTCAGACCAGGGCGTTCTGGTCTGAATTTATATTTTTGCTATCACATAAGGTTGATTTGTAATAAATAATACCTTCAGCATTCCGTTTCATATAAACCGAATCTGCCAGATTGAGTCCATGGGACTGATCAGAGATACCAGCCTGTCCAGTGAAGCGGACCGTGACTTCGCTAATCGAGCGGCGGAGAAAGTGCCGGGGTGTTATTGATTGAGTTTCACTGCGCTTATCGTTCCTCCATGGGAAGAAAGCCAGCTGCGGTTCACTGGCTTCAGCCGCACTTCATTTGCATTCTCAGACCCTCCACAACTGATTCGCAACTCACCTCAAGGTCTTTCCTCAATGTCATGAATATGTTAAGAATAAACCTCTATGAAAAGTAGCTTGAACATTTGCATGCAATTATCATGATAAAATATCTACCAAAACGCTGAGTCCCTGACCCAGTTGACAAACATGTCATATCACATTCGCGGCCACAGCGAGCGAACCGAGCAGAGACAACTGTACTGTTGGAATATGCCGTCGATGTAATTTCCATTTAGCCCTCCCTCTCCCCGCCCCCTCGTGCAGTAAAGCCGTTCGGACGGTAACCCTCTCTCCTCCCGGCGCTGTGCTGACCGGTCCTCTCTCTCTTTCAGTGGAGGATGTTCAGCGCATCCGGCGTCAGGGCGTAGCCGAGAACAGGGACGACCCGTACGGACCTCCGAGCTACCAGCCCGAGCCCTACAAGCCGGAGCCCTACAAGCCGGACCCGTACAAGCCCTCCTACCACAAGGGCGGCCCCGTCTACGTCAAGACCTTCGTCAAGACCGACTACGACGGCAACTTCAAGTGGGGAGTGAAGCACAACATCGAGGAGGGATACCACTAAAGATGTTGAACTTTGTTACAATGCGGATATGATCAGATGTTGTTATACGGAGACTTGCCGCCGGTTATTGAAGACATGGAGTGTACTAGTCCCACTGTAGTCGCGCGCCGCCTGTGTTGCTGTTATTGGTCCAACATGTGACGTCATCGGCGGGGAAGTGTGATAACGGCTGCGCGTCTCCGAATGTTATAGGGATGTACTGTACAAAACGATCCACTTGTTACGGTAAAATGGGGTCGGAATACACACAGAACATACATGCAAGGTGTTTTATGATGCTCGTATTTGTATGATTCGCTCGTTAGCTGTACCTTACCAGCACTCATACATTGTACTTGATCGCGATGTAATTTCAACGACACCACTAGAGACAATTACGCATATGACCCATAACGGGCATGCAGAAGCGCCCAATATGGCTGGAGGCAGTGGCACTAAGCTATAAATGGTCGCTGAAAAACGACTTGTGCAACACTTTGAGCCGCACGCCTGAGCTCAGGAGACATGGCCTCTTTCAAACTGGTGAGTGCCACCGTCGGCAGTCAGCCGGAGGGATAAAAAAGACGATAGAAATCCATTAGCTGCACTTTAATTGTTTTCTGGTGGGTTCTGACTAGCACTTGTTTGATTCCAAACTGCCTATTTATATTGTTTGTTGTGCAGTGTGCACTTGCCTGTTAATCGACAGGTGGCCCTTGGCCTGCTGGCGGTGGTCGCCGTCACCGAGGCTCTGCCCAGACCGCAGACCGCCACTCCCGAGGACGTCCCTGTCGGTGAGTGACCTGCTCAGGTCAGGTCAGGTTAGATCAGGACGTTTTTGTCTTCATCGACCCACACAAATCACAGTGGCATTGTTTATTCTCTGAAGGTTTAGCGTTGATTTTTATACTATTTACTTTTGTTTAAACCCGCGCCCTGCTTGGTACAGTCGTGTACAGGTTGATGGTCCGCTACTCTTTATCCACCGGGCTCCTATGGCTCAGCATTGGCAGCAGCCGCCTGGTACCGGTAGGCTGTGCCGCATGACCCGAAAGTTATGCGGCACAGTCTACCCACGCCGTTTGACATCGGCTCGGGTTGCTGGGTGGAGCGCTTTGTAGACCAGCTGTTGCGTCAGACCGGCGCGGGGGGAGGGGCTCGTCTCAGTGGTTGGCGTGGGCTGGCGAGTGGTGTGGGGTGTGTTGGTGGACCATGGGGGCTGGTCGGGTGTGTGTGGTCACTTCTTGCATTGCAAATTTTGCGTCGCTTAACAATTGCATTCCTGTTTTTGATAAGCACAATGCACGGAAGACCCAGCGAATATAATCTACTTTACCGTGATTTGGCACGGTATCGAGGCAACCATAGACCTCTTGTGCCTATGCATGATATTTAGGCAATACGTTTATGAAAACGGTAGATTGATGCTGGATGTCAATTCGTATGCTAAATGTCGACACGCATTAAATGAATGAATGCAGTGGCGGCGGAAGGTATTCTAGGATAGGGGTGCAAACGATATTGAAGCGCCCCTTCCCGCTGGGCGCCCCTTACCATGCCGATGGCCGTCCCTGCACTGGAAAATCAGTTTCGCCCCTATACAGGCGCCCATAGAAGTTTGCAGAGTGCTATTCATGGTCATAATCAGCTCCCAAGTAAAAAAAAAACGCAAAATACGCCCTAGCACTAGGGGTGTAACCGCCCATACGGACAGTGCAATTTTACAGGCCCCAATCTCGGACCTCCCTTAACATTCATATGTTGTAAACGGCAAACCGCCCCCGATAAATGTTACACAAACTAATTTCCTCTCGCATATCGGCCATCAGGAGCCCCTTTTTGTCGCATGGAGCCTGCAACGCTATAAGCCCTCATATGTTCGTGTTGGCGTTCGGAGGCTATCGCCTTCAAAGACGTCTCCAAAAATGTTTCTTTTTCGTCCCACACACAGGCGCCCCTCTTTCGCATGCAGGCGCCCCTCTTCCGCATGGCGCGCTTCTCGAGTAGCTGCGCCCTCCTAGCCTTTATCGCCTGGCAAGATTATATTCGACAGGGTCGGCAGCATCTGCCTTTGTTTCAGATAAGGATGCCCTCCACTCTTCAGCATATCAAAAGATATTTTCCCCACGTCATTGCCACCCTCTTCGTGTCACAAGTGCCTTTATCAGTTGCGGTGTCGCCTCGCACTGCTCAGCTTTATGGCTGCCGCACCTCTTAACTTCCTGCCTCCTCTACAGATTTTCGAGGCGCCCCTTTCCATAGCTTTAGGGTGCAGCTGCCCCCCTTGCCCCCCTGCTTCCGCCGCCACTGAATGAATGAATGAATCAATCAATCAATCAAACAATCATTCGACATGTATAAAACCGTATAAATGGCTCGCAACCACTAATAGCAATCAAACTATCCTAACTCGGAAAAGCAGCCGGAGCCCTGATGAGGCTCGAACCGGGACTCCACGCTGTAAATTTTGCCAATGACCCATCATCATTCCACCAAGTCAATAAGAATGACCAGCACCCGAACCCACAAAAACATTAATTGACCTTGCCGCCGACCTCCCGGCCCCGCCGCCCGCCCGGCCAGACTTTCCCCCGGCCATTGCCACCATCCGGTGTGTGGGGCAAAACGCCCTTTTGTAAGGGTATGCGGAAACCTTTTTGGGGGGTTAAATACCACACGCAGGTGTCTTTTCTTGGTCTCAAAGCGTAGTAAAAAGAATGAGCTACATGATGGTGCCCAAAGGTTTGAGTAATCTGTGTTGGGTTGAGTGTCAGAAGGTTTCGCGCTTAAGGGGGGCGTTTTTGACCTATTCACCCTATACCTTTCCCCAAGGCCCTAAATACACCTTTCCCTATGGACGACTCAAATTAGTTAGGCAAGTCCCTTGGTTTACTACCTGCAGATTTCGTCCATTCAGGCACATATGCGGATCCAGAAAAGCGGTCTAGGACGTTGGGGGGGGGGGGGCACCCCCGAAAACAGTTTCTCCGAATTGGCCAGTGTTGGATCCGCCAGTGTTCAGGCAGTCAGTAAGTTTTATGATCGAAGTAAGAAACCTTTGATCTTGAGAGAGTCAAATTAGGGGGAGACATTGGTCTGGGCAGACACCCTAGACTGAGAGTCGCCGGGGCTGAGCCCGTCCGAATGGACAAGCCGACCAGCCCCCCTCCCCCCCCCCCCCCCCAGCACCCTCTGCACCCGGCTACGGGGTGAGCTCCCTCGGGAGCAGCGTGCCGCTCCAAGGGAGCAGCCCGCATGAGATCCGGTGCCTGTCCATTAGGGTTGTTAAAAAAAAAAACGATTTTTGGAAAAGTATATGGGCTCATGGCTCATGTGGTGCGATATTCTTTTCTGAGTCCAATGATACCAGGGGCGGATCCAAGGGGGGGGGGTCACATGGGTCATGGCCCCCCCCCCTTGAGGCCCGGGGGCCCAAAGACCTGCCAGGGGCACCACCGGCCTATCAGGGGTATCACAGTCCTGACAGGGGCACCACAGGACCGCCAGGGGCACCACAGGCCTAGCAGGGACACCACGGGCCTGGTGCCCCTGGGCCCTGACAGGACTGTAACGCCCCTGACAAGCCTGAAGTGTCCCCGGCAGGCACGTGGTGCCCCTGACAGGCCTGAGGCGCCCCTGCAAGGCCGGTGGTGCCCCTGGCAGGCCTGTGGTGTCCATGGCAGGCCTGTGGTGCCCTTGCTAGGCCTCTGGTGCCCCTGACAAGCTTGTAATGCCCCTGGAAGGACTGTGGTGCCCCTGGGCCCTGACAAGCCTGAGGTGCCCCTGACAGGCCAGTGGTGCCCTTGCTAGGCCTGTGGTGCCCCTGGCAGGCCTCTGGTGCCCCTGACAGGCTTGCGGTGCCCTTGGAAGGACTGTGGTGTCCCTGGGCCCTGACAAGCCTGAGGTGCCCCTGACAGGCCCGTGGTGCCCTTGTTAGGCCTGTGGTGCCCCTGGCAGGCCTCTGGTGCCCTTGCTAGGCCGCTGGTGCCCCTGGCAGGCCTCTGGTGCCCCTGCGCCCGGAGAGGACTGGTGCCCCTGAAAAGTCTGAAGTGCCCCTCGGCAGGCCCGTGGTGCCCCTGACAGGCCCAAGGTGCCCCTGCAAGGCCGGTGGTGCCCCTGGCAGCCCTCTGGTGCCCCTGGCAGGTCTGTGGTGCCCCTGGCAGGTCTGTGGCGCCCCTGGCAGACCTGTGTTGACTGGTGCCCCTGCTAGGTCGCTGGTGCCCCTCACAGACCTGTGGTGCCCCTGGGCCTTGACAAGCCTGAGATGCCTGGCTATGACAGGCTCGTGGTGCCCCTGATAGACCAGTGGTGCCCCTGCTAGGCCGCTGGTGCCCCTCACAGGCCTGCGGTGCCCCTGGAAGGACTGTGGTGCCCCTGCCCCTAGGGGTGCTCATGGGCCCAACAGGCCCGTAGTGCCCCTGACAGGCCTGTAGTGTCCTTGCTAGGCCTGTGGTGCCCCTGCTTCCTGGCGGGCCTGTGGCGCCCCTACAAGGCCATAGGTGCCCCTGACAGGTTTGTGGTGTCCCTGGAAGGACTTTGGTGCCCCTGACAAGCCTGAAGTGTCAAGGACAGACCCTTTAGACGCCAGTGTCAAGTTCGTCGGACTGACAACGATTTGCTTACCTGATAACGTTCCTGGTAAGTACTCACTACTCAGCGTCCACAACATATACATATACACATAGCACATTCATATATACTTGCTTACAATTGGTAAATGTGGTTGTGGCTAAGAGTTAAGATACTGACTAAAAAAAAAATAAAAAAAAATGAAAATGGGGGCACCACCAAAATGAAGTGGACGAAATCCGTTGAGTTTTTAATTTTGGGTATAGGTAGGGGCACCACTTCGATTCATGACCCTCCCCTTGGAGTTTTCCTGGATCCGCCCCTGAATGATACCCTTTTTTCCGAAAAGTATTACTGCTAGGCGCTGCTCAAACGGCTTAAAGAGGACCATGTTACGCCCGCCGACCGGCCGGTGTCAATAAGGGCGAGAACTCGACGCCGCGCGTCGGCGGCAGCGCCTTATCGGCACCGCGCGCCACGGCATCTGCCGGGCGGCCGGCTGGGCGGTGGGAAGTTATAAATGCACACGATCGGGGTGCGCTATCCCATGTTTTCGGGGCGGAAAGTCTCAGTGCAGCATCGGTGCGTCTGCCATGGTGGTCTGTGTCGATGGTACAGAAAATAACTCAAACAGAGCTCAGAAAAGACTGAATGATTCTGGGTAGTTGCCTCGAAACAATCCGTTTCAAGAATACAGCTGCCTTCTTAACGTACTGTATCACTTTTTAATTCTTCAAAAAGCAAGCTCTGAGCAATAACAGACTTCTTTGCATTGCTGTTGACAATTTAAGTTGCTTTTGGACGGTGGCTCGCAGCCCCAATATGCTGCCGCGTAACTCTATTCCAACGACGAAACGGCAACTTAGCGAGAATCGAAAATTTAACGAAGTAGGTACTTACAACAGGAGCTGGCAAGGCTCCTGCATTGGTCTTTACGTCGAGTGACACACCTGGGTAATGCGTCACGTCAGGGCAGAGCTGTGTTCTATGCCGGGTCTGGATTCGGGTCTTGATCGGCATCGGTGGGCATGGCCGCCCTGGCCGGACCATGCCGGCGTCGCTTATGCTCGAAGGATTGGATAAACGGCGCTTTATAGGTACTCCGGCTAATGTCTCTACTCATGTCTCACTTCGTCACACTGTCAGGGTGGCCACCCTGTCATTCCCGGACATGTTTTATTTCGGCCTGCTAATCTAAGTTAAACCTGGCGTCGATTCTGTTGCTTCAGCATTTGACATCAACGTATCTGCATAATGACATTGGTGACGCCCATGCTCGTCAAACCCACCCCCAAACTTGGACCGATGACTTCCGGGTCTCCATATTCTGTTCTTGTGCATTGCCAGCTCTTGCTGTACGTAAATCGTGAATTTTCGATTCTCGCAAAGTTGCGCGTTTCGCCGTTAGAATTAAGATGCGTGGCAGCATATTGGGGGTGCGAGCCAGTGGCGTACCCAGGAATTTGCGAAGGACCAGGGCATTGGACGAGAGGGCGCCAATCAAGGAGGGCGCCAACAACAAGGAGGGCGCCACATAGGTATCTGAAACTTGAATGTGTCAGTTATGTTCGTACACGTGCGGAACGAACATAACTGACATTGTACATGCGTACACATTGATCAGCCTCAGGCAGCGGTACACGTGCGGTACGAACATAACTCATAACTGCGAACGTGAAAGTGTCGCGGCCGAGCATTCTGGGTGAGTCTGTGGTGTGCGTTGCATCATTGTTCCGTTGCTATTTTGTATTACTGGTGCCATGTGCATTGCTACATTCAATATAATTTCCTCACTGAGAGCCGGCTTTACTCTTATCTATCGGCGCTACTCCGTACTCCGTAGGAGTATCTCCGTCACGCCTGCGGTCGAATATGTAATAGCAATTGTGTTTTTCTTCAAACGCCTTAACGGTTTTTGTTAGGAAAGCAGAAAACAGCCGAAATATCAGACAACTACAAGTACTATAATAAAAATTAACGATGTTTATTGTTCTTAAAGGTAGACTGCCACCTTTTTCCCACAAAACGGTTTTCACTAGAACTGAGCCACCTATGTCCCAGACTGAAGTCGGTTTTCCGAAATTCGAACCCGTTTGCGAGAAATCGGAGACCAAAGTTCAGTTTGATGCCATTTTTTTAGTCCAAGAAAACCGACATCTCTACTGTTTATCGATAACTTTGAAACATGAATTTTCTTATCTTTTGGTAAATATATGTCAAAACTTTGATTGTTTCGAGATCAGAGAAAAATTTTGGAGTGTCAAAATAAAAATTAAACTTATATATTCAGTAGTTCATTTTTTCCAAAAAGGGTGGGAAATGGGGTTTAACATGGGCCAGACCCATTCCAAATGAGCCATGATTTTCAAATGTTTTACGAACTCAAATGCAAAATAAATTAAACATGGCCAATTTCTTATGAAATCATATATTAGTAAATCATAAAATACCTTACTTTTTCAAATAAAATGTAATAATCTTATGACCTTGAAGTCTAGTGATGTGTAAACATTGTCGCTAGACATTAACCGATTGATAATTGTATGATAATCGACAATTTTTTTCGCGATTCACGTGATGATACTTTGTCAGGTGAATTCTAAAATTTTGTTTTGTCCAGGGAATAAATCATAGGCCGATCTGAGAAAACTTTTTGAAGGTGGCAGTCTTCCTTTAATACACCCTGGTTTATTGGCTATAGGAAATAAATGTTGGATTTAGAAGAAAAAAATACAGATAGGTTCAAGTCTTATAACTATAAAAATGTTATAATACTATAATAATAAAATAACTTTATCATCAAGCTATAAGATTAGGAACATGGCCATGGGAGCTATTCAGAGACTAGAGCTGCAGCATTTCTACATATCCCATAACTGACACCATAGGCTCATGAAGTCGGAGGGCGCCTTCTGACCAGAAGCACGCCAGTGAGCCGGGAGGGCGCCCTCTGATCAGAAGCACGTCAGTGTGTCGGTGGGGCGACCTCTGATAACAAGTACCTCACCGGTGAGTCGGAAGGGCGCCTTACGATCAGAAGCACGCCAGTGGGTCAGGAGGGAGCCTTACGATCAGAAGCACGCCGGTGAGTGGAGAGGGTGCCTTCTGAACAGAACCATGCCGGTAAGTCGAGAGGGCGCCCTCTGAGGAGATGCATTCCAATTAGCCGTGAGGGCGCCTTCTGATAAGAAGCATGCTAGTGAGTTGGAGGGCGCCTTCTGGTCAGAAGCACGTCAGTGAGCCGGGAGGGCGCCCTCTGATCAGAAGGACACCAGTGAGCCGGGAAGGTGCCATCATCTAGGAGAGCGCCGCTATCGACTGGAGGAGCGCAAACACTGGACAGAGGGGCGCCGCCATAATCTAGGAGCGCGCCGTTATCGACTGGAGGAGCGCCAACACTGGACAGAGGGTCACCACCATCGTCTAGGAGGGCACCGCTATCACTGAAGGAGCGCCAAGACTGGACAAAGGGGCGTCGCCGTCATCATCTAGGAGCTCGTCGCTGTCGACTGGAGGGGCGCCAACACTGGACAGAGGGGCGCCCCATCATCTAGAAGCGCGCCGCTATCGACTGGAGGAGCGCCAACTCTGGACAGAGGGGCGCCGCCATCATCTAGGAGCGCACCGCTATCGACTGGAGGAGCGCCAAGTCCAACACTGGACAGAGGGGCGCCACATCGTCTAGGAGAGCGCCGTTATCACCAGAGGAGCGCCAACACTGGACAGAAGGGCGCCACCTTCGTCTAGGAGGGCACCCTATCTCTGCAGGAGTGCCAAGACTGGACAGAGGGTTCGCCGTCATCATCTAGGAGCTCGTCGCTGTCAACTGGAGGGGCGCCAACACTGGACAGAGGGGCGCCCCATCATCTAGGAGCGCGCTGCTATCGACTGGAGGAGCGCTAACTCTGGACAGAGGGGCGCCGCCATCATCTAGGAGCGCACCGCTATCGACTGGAGGGGCGCCAACACTGGACAGAGGGGCGCCACCATCGTCTAGGAGGGCGCCGTTATCACCAGAGGAGCCGGAGCGCCAACACTGGACAGAAGGGCGCCACCATCATCTAGGAGGGCACCGCTATCACTGGAGGAGCACCAAGACTGGACAGAGGGTTCGCCGTCATCATCTAGGAGCTCGTCGCTGTCGACTGGAGGGGCGCCAACAAAGGACAGAGGGGCGCCACCATCATCTAGGAGCGCGACACTGTCGACTGGAGGGGCGCCAATACTGGACAGAGGGGCGCCGCCATAATCTAGGAGCGCGCTGCTATCGACTGGAGGAGCGCTAACTCTGGACAGAGGGGCGCCGCCATCATCTACATAAGAGCGCGACACTGTCGACTGGAGGGGCGCCAACACTGGACAGAGGGGCGCCACCCACCATCATCTAGGAGCGCGACGCTATCGATTGGAGGGGCGCCAATACTGGACAAAGGGGCGCCACCGGCCCACCATATCGTCTAGGAGGGCGCCACTATCACCAGAGGAGCGCCAATACTGGACAGAGGGGCTTCGCCATCAACTAGAAGCGCGCCGCTATCGACTGGAGGAGCGCCAACACTGGACAGAGGGGCGCCAGTCACTGAGGGCGCCGGGGACGATGAGCCAAAGGGACAGGGCATGCACGGAATGTCCTGTATGTGCGTACGCCACTGGTGCGAGCCACCGTCCAAAAGTAACGTGAATTGTCAACAGCAATGCAAAGAAGTCTGTTATTGCTCAGAGTTTGCTTTTTAAAGAATTAACAAGTGATACAGTACGTTAAGAAGGCAGCTGTATTCTTGAAATGGATTGTTTCGAGGCAACTACCCGGAATCATTCAGTCTTTTCTCAGCTCTGTTTGACTTATTTTCTGTACCATCGACACAGACCACCGCGGCAGCCGCACCGATGCGGCACTGAAACTGTCCGCCCCGAAAACATGGGATAGCGCACCCCGATCGCGTGATAAAGACCACGCATCTATAACTTCCTACCGTCCAGCCGGCCGTCCGGCAGATGTCGTGGCGCGCCGGGTGCCGATAAGGCGCTGCCGCCCGTGCGCGGCGTCGAATTCTCGCCCTTATTGACACCGGCCGGTCGGCAGGCCTAACATGGTCCTCTTTAAGCCGTTTGAGGAGTCCCTAACAGTTAATACTTTTCAGAAAAATGGGCATCATTGGACTCAGAAAAGAATACCGCACCACATGAGCCATGAGCCCGTATACTTTTCCAAAATTCGGCTTTTTTGAACAACCCTACTGTCCATGGCCCGACGTAGGGGTCGCCGCGTGGAGAAGGATTTCAGCATTCTGACTGAGAATGGAATTTGGAAACGATGGAACGGAGGGATGGAGGATCCGGAATCCGGATCACCACCGTCAGCCTGTTATGGAATTGTGGTTGTGATTTCCGAAGTCTGCGACATCTATAATTGAAGCTCTAGCGCCATCTGTCACGCGACTTCGCCAGCTATGAGAATTTGTGAGAAGAAAATCAATCATTTGATACATTTTTTATTTTACAACTCATTTTATTTTTCTTCCTTTGTTTTTGAATATCAAAAGCACATCCTAAAACGAAAAAAATATGGGGAGCATGGTCGAAATAAATACTGTTATATTTTGTGACGTTCTGTTTTCAATACGATTCGTCTGCCTATCTTGAATCCTTATGCCCTCTTTTGTTTAGGTTATTTTTACCAAGGCCCTATATTTTTACGTGTGTTTGTGTGAGTGCACGCCCCGTCGGCTGTGAGGGTTTGGGTGAGTTGGTGAGTTTTATATTACCTCAAAATAAGTGTTATTTGAATTCATATTAAATGAATAATGGCAAGCGTAGGATGTACGTTTCATCCAAGAGTGAAAAAACTGAAACGCACCAGTACTGAAACGAGTCAGATGCATTTTCTTTTCATGGTTTTGAAGGAGGTGCTTACCGCCTACCGGGTGATAGAGATTTGATATTGTAATATTGGTGTGAAGATTTGCGCTTTGGCAGATTTGGATATTTTCTTATTTCAGTTTGACGTGCACCATGTTTTTTATTTCAGGTGTACCACCTGCCCAACAGCCTCAAGCATCATGGGCTCCACTCAGCAATTCTCATTAAAGTGGAACAAGTATCAGCGGAATTGGGACAATTATTTGTCAAAGTTGTTGAATAATCACATGTTCAGTGATGTAATGGTGGCCTGTGATGGACAAGTATTTCAACTGCACAGGATAGTCCTTGCATCATGCAGCTCCTACTTTGAGAAGACACTACAGGTAAGTGCCTAATTAAAATCACTGCTTCTATGGAATGCTAGACAGATCTGTGCTCTTCTCATTGGTGCAGTACATAGTGAGACCTCGAATCAACTTGTGTGGCCAGGTGCTGGTGGCCCATGCAATTCAATTCTAAAGTTAATTCTGGCCAATCTGATAAAGGTGTTTCAGCTTTTAGCACATTTGGCCCAGCCATTCCTTAGATATAGAATTGGCACCCTGCATACCTATGCATGTGTGCAAAATGAGACCCCAACTGGCTTGTGTGGGATGCCCTACTAAGCTAACCCTAAGGGCTATCTGATCTGAGCCTGATTGGCTCAGCCATTCTTGAGCTGTGGAAGCAGCCCCTGCAGCACTTGTGTGCCTGGAGTAACACTCTTACCATGATGCGCAAAAATGCATCATCTGGTCGATGTCCACCTATTTACTAATTCACCTATACACTAAGCCAATTTTCAGTGCAATCTATCCAGGCAATGCTGAGTTATTGTGAGAGGAATGATTTTGTCGCCCCTGATTTTACAAGTGTTGTTAGGCCTTATATCATTAAAGTCCTTATGAGACAGCATGTTCAGGAATGATAGAATTGTGCATTATCAAATAAACTTATCCTGATATCCATGAACACCTCCCAACACTGTTCCAGAACATCCCGGCCAAGGAGACGCCGATAGTGATGCTGAGTGAGATAACGGAGCTGGAGATGCGCACCCTCATCGAGTTCATGTACTGCGGGGAGGCCACCATCGACCAGAGTCAGCTGGAGGCCCTGCTGAAGGTGAGGGCTGCTCGTGACGTGGAGTGTGAGCGTCACTATAGGTTACTGGTAGCTCTGGTGCACTACGTGTTAGTTCTGGGTTCAGCAGTCATTCCCATATTCATCTCAAGATTGCAGGATGGATTTGTGTTTGGTTTGATCCTGACCGTGCATTGAACCAATGTCTGGGCCGGGAACCAAATGATAAGGGTGAGGCATTGGGCTGATTCGATTGCCGTCTGGTGTGCTGCCACTGTCCTGTGAGTCCATCTGCCTGAGTCTGATCTGCGAGAGAGGTTGAGCTCCTGCTCATCGTATATTCTCCCAAGTTGATGTGTACCTATTTATGCTAGGTAGGTATATCGTGTGCAGCTTCCCATTCGTTATCTCACTCCAACTGCACTCGGTTACACGAGGTTCCCAGCCTTTGGCACTCATTTTCACGTGTTTTAAACCATTGGACACCGGGTTTTAGACCATCGAACCCCGCTCACTTAATGCTCCGATCCCGTCCCATGCCTGCACATCGCCGTCCATTCCCGTTCGATTATTTCCAGTCATGGTCGGATGGGTCTATGCTGGTCACCGTGCACTTAGTGCCAGCACAGGCAGAATATAGTCGATACTAAGCATGACGGTGTGTCTTTTCGGTCTGCCTCGCTGACAGTCCAATCGTGAAATGTAAAATACGGGGTTCAGCGGCCGCACTATGAGCTTACTGAAGCACTGTTTCTGAACACCCACTGCGCAGGCAGCCGACGTATGTTTCGACGTGGCTATATCGGTATTTGATCGCTACTTGTTGTTCGGAGTTTAGTTCGATCGGCTACATCGATGTTTGATCGGCTTTTATCGATATTTCATCGGCTACTGAGAACGAATAAGGCTACATGTGGTTGTCTGGTGACATGTTGGTAAATTGTGACATTGCACCTCTATTTTTTGACTATCTTACATTGGTTTGAAAGGAGAAATATCCAAAGGACTGTCGGTACGCATCCCGAAATTGCAGGCACACTTGATACAATACTAGGGCGTCTCCCTGTGCGGTATCCTGCCTGGGTGGGCTTCACTCAGGTGACCGTGTCGACTTTGTGGTGTCACCGCGGACCGTGGTGACATCACAGTCACCCCCGTATCCCTGGACCCGCAGCCCCCTCCTGTGTCCCACGCCACTACTCCCCCACGCCCATGTCTGACGTCCCCCGTTTTGGTGGCTTACCGAAAATTCCTGAGCCTTAGACCCCGCACCCGCGCCCGCGCCGGAACTCCTATTTTATTCGGTAGACATATTTGACGGTATTTGCGGCATACCCCGTCTGGACCTTACCGGCTTCCTGCGGAATATTGTGCGCAAGTGCTATATGTGGAACCCTTGCGGTTTTACCCTGGCGTAATGCGGCATAACTCATGTCTACTTATGGCCCGTCCCCGTGATTGATGGGCGTTAGAGGGGAAGCGGCGACAAAAAAAGGAGGGGAGTGGGGGACTGGGGCCGAGGTGGCCCGCCGGACGGATGGAGGGACGGTCCCCCATGGAGGCATCAGACCGAACCAGGGTCGACGGTGGGTCTCCTCAGTCAGGTACTCGACAGTCGGCTGAACGGCCGGGATGTAATGGCCGCCGACCGGATTGTTTTTGTTTGGCCGGCCGTTAGTGCCACTATCTGGCACGGTATCGTGATTTACACAAGATGATGAAACTCGACGGCAGTGGAGACGCGCAGGAGGCAGGTGCATTGTCATTCATGGCAGCTGCTAGCTAAACTACCAGTCATTATTCGGTGGAGAGAAAGTTGCAAACGGGCGGTAAACAACCGGGGCTATATCTGGCAGTCCGTTCTTTGTTTTGATGTGTAGATGTGCTACCATCTTGTGTAATCCGATCTCCGAAACTGACCAAGAAAGTGGCACACACACTGAAAGATACGTGATTATCCTCATCAATGCTTCCGTGCGTACTTGCATGTAAAGAACTGAAATTCAGTAAACAAAACAAATGTTGAAATTAAGCAAACCATCTTTACAGAGTCACTGTTAGTCAATTGTCAATATTTTCCGTCAGCGGCGACGCAGTGGCCACAGAGCCTGCTATATACTCAAACTTTACCTTCTTTGACCGGCAAACATAACGATCGTAGCTTTCTAAACTTTGTAAATAGCCAGGAGTTTGGATGTGGACCGCGTTCGGGCTACAAGTTACATTGCTACATGAACGTTAACCATACACCGACACTACGGGTATGGTTGACAATGGCACCATGCAGTTGTTGAATCGATAAAGCTGCTCAAAAGCACGCAATTGATCAGCGTTGGATTCTTTTGTCTTGCTGGGGCTCGCTCCTGCATGTCATAGAATTTACGAGTTGCTAGCCTTTGTTTATGTTCACGTTTCATTACACTATATTGTTCTCTTCCTTTCACTGCAACGAGCTCCGACGCCCACCATGCTCGAATCATTGATCCGGCCTTTCACACCCGCACTATCCCGATACACTTTCACCGAGGCACAAAAACATTCCATTGGTATGCTGTGCTGCTTCTGCTCCGATTGACGGCGTCACAACAGGCGGGTGTGCTCAGCATTGGCACCCGGTGGCCGCTCGGCAGTGACGGCCTGACCCGCCTGCCGCTCGGGCGACTTTGTCGCTGATTACGGAGGAAAGGGGAGAGGGGGGGGGGTTACGGGAGCAGCCAAAAGCCAGTGAGGAAGCTAGGGACGGTCGGTGGTCTGTGGATGTGGCAGAGAATCGTTGGCATATTAGGGAATCGTCATGGCTTTTGACTGTGAGAAATGATGATCGTGCTTTGAACTAGCTAGAATCGTGAAGGACATTTAGCAGGAATCACGATTCGACATTTGATGCACGCTCTCCTACAGACACTGAGGCTATTTGCTATCGGTGGTGGCTATTTGATTCTGGGAAGTTCTCGAAGACACTAGTACACTAGTGCGTACTAGTATAGACACTAGTACGTTTCGGTGGTGGCTATTTGATTCTCGGAATTTATGGAAGAGCGGTCACTAAAGCATCTGCTGGTAAAACCAGCCTACCAGTCAGCGACCACCCGGCACCAGCCTCCGTACCTCGGCTGCCTGCCACCGTTAGTGTCTCAGGCTGGCACGTTTTGCTGCGTCACTTCTGGAATCGTTCTATGGTTGGAATGACGGGACGCGGTAATCGCGGTCGTACAGATTCGCATCACTGCGCCTCTAGAACGTTAATGTCGGTCGATGAAATGCCACAAAAGGAGATTAAATGAACCAATGGCTGAGCGCGATGGAAATGCGCTCTAACCGATAATTCGATAGGCAAGTCACTGCGTCATTTGCCTCATCTTCTGTTGAGAAGGGCCGTGAGAATTCGTAGAACTCGCTCGCGGCAATTAAGCTCGTAATATTTTTTTTTCCAAACTTGCCCATCATATCCGTACGCCCTTCTTCCTGTTGCCAAACCACCATCATGTTGACTTTTATACCATATGGTGCGAGTTTACCATATGGTGCGACATTTTTACACCGCGAGTCAATAGTCATCTAAGTCTGCGCGTCCCCCGCCGTCGGCCCTCATGGTCTGACCGCCCCGCCCCCGTCGCCAGGCCGCCGAGCGTCTGCAGATCAAGGGTCTGGTCAAATCGGACGCTGACGAGGAGCTCTCCGACGACGCCGAGGACCGGGACTCTGCCGAGCGGCGCCGCCCGGAGCGGCCGGAGCCGGAGCCGGAGGAGCCGGACGGCTCCGAGTCGGGCCCGGAGAGCCCGGAGCCGGCGCCGGAGCCGGAGCGGCGGCGCTCGGTGCTGGACACGCCGCCGCCGCCGCTGCAGCCTCTGTCGGCCGGCCCGCAGCCGCCGCCGCTGCCGCATCAGATGGGAGGACCGCTGGCCAGCGTCGGACCGCAGGTGAGGGACTGAAACTGGTCGGACGTTTGTGGATCTTTCGTCTGGGATAAACTATTGCGAGTTGACGGCCTGACCGGGAGAACGATCGAATGGTTGGCAGTTCGGATTGTGTGGGGTCCGAGGAACAGTTATGATTTGGGAAGTTGAAAGGTGGATGGTTCGTAGCACTTCCATTACTCTTGAGTCTTGAGGTACCGTTGTTTGGCCTAACTTTGTACCAGTTTTTGACTTTTCTTCGTATTACTTCCAAATTATTTTGTTAAATGTTCAGGAAATTGTGCAGTAAGGCAGTGACATCCCTGCTGGTCACCTATAGTCACTCTTAATTTTTTTTTTGGATAATGGCATATACCTAATTTATTTTTTTGAAATTAGAGTGGCACAATGTTACCCGCACAAAAATAACTTTGTACCATATGAATAAATGCATCAATAAAACAATGGAAAAGCCAAAAGTATCAATGTTAGCGGTCGTTATGGATACATTGGTCCACTTAGGGGCTTTTAAAAAAGGAACAGCAAACTTGTACATTGTACAAACATAGTCACGGGATGATGCACACCATCATGACCAGACATGTGCATGGATCCGAGTGATGGATCTATGATATCAGTGGATCTCGAAGCAAAGTACAGGTTGGGATCTATGATCCCACCGGATCCGGCGTGAAAAATACATCTTGGATCTATGATCTCATATGATCTGACGATAAATTAAGAACATGGATCCATGATCTGAGTGGATCTCACCATGCACCACATTTAAATCATGTTTTATAGGGCTTCTATGCTAATAAGTGCCACAAAACTATGGATTATGACGTGCGATCACATAACATCACTAAAACAGTATGTTTGTGAGTTGAAACAAGTGTTTTTTTTTTGGATATATGTGTTGACCAAAAATAAGTGAGGATCTATGATCTCACTGGATCTCAAGCAAAAAATGACACTCGGATCTGTGATCCCTACGGATCAGGGATGCGGAGCCGGAGCCGGAGCCGGAGCCGCCGGAGCCGGCATATTTTGCCCGGAGCCGGAGCCGGAGCGGGAGCCGTGAAACAATATAGCCCGGAGCCGGAGCCGGAGCCGGAGCCGTCAAAAAAGGGGGCGACTCCGGCTCCTTTTCTTAAGAGGAAACAATTAATTACCTAGTTCGGTTTGACAGTAGGTACAAGGCGTAAAACAATGTGGTATTCAAAATAGCCTTGTTATACAAATACAGAAGCAACGTGTACTAATCCCATCGCCTTTTTTCTTCCACCCGTATTTAATTGATCGCATAGGGGATGTACTGAGTAGAAGCCGGAGCCGGAGCCGCCGGAGCCGGATCATTTTACTCGGAGCCGGAGCCGGAGCCGGAGCCGCCATGACATTTCACCCGGAGCCGGAGCCGGAGCCGGAACCGATTTTTTTTCTCCGGAGCCGGAGCCGGAGCCGGAGCCGTCTGAAATTTCCACGGCTCCGCATCCCTGCTACGGATCTCTCGATAAATTACAGAGCTGGATCTATGATCCCGTCGGATCCGAGATCAGGATCCGTGGGATCAGATCCCAGATCCATTTTCTCGGATCCATGCACATGTCTGATCATGACTGTAGGTCGCTTACGTATCCCGCTGGGACATTTACGCACAACCAACGACGCGACGAACCACACACAATAAAAGGCACGGAACACAACGAACGACACGACGACCCTCTTCATCATATGGTGTCATATGGTGTCTTCATCATATGGTGTACCCTTCCTGCGGGTGGCCCAAAGTTATTGAATTAACGGCAAAAAATATGTATAAACATTGACCACCCCCAAATTAAAAAAAAAAATGTTTGAGGAAAATAAATTACCAATAGTCGAATGCAAAGTTCACATGATGTCCTATTCAGGCAAATTGCAAAAGTTGATTCGGCTGGTAGCATCTGAGCCCCATACAGGGACCTACCTAAACCTTAATATTGGGTGAAAAAAGGAGCTTCACCAAAAAAAAAATCTAGAAAATCCAAAATCGACATGATGACATATTTTTTTGTGTCCCTGGGTTTATCATTGACTACTTCATTGGTTCCGGCCCAAAAATGCCATTTCTCGCGCATAGGTATTAAGCTGATTAAAATTTAGCCATTTTTTTTTTCCTCGTGGAACAAAGTTACCCACACGGCCCAAAGTTAGACCAAACAACGGTACTGAAAAGTGGTATTTTGCACTCGTTTAAATTATACCTACGGCACTCATTAGTTATTACGTGGAACAGTTTGCGTTGACAGGACCAGTATTGGAGGAATGTTGGTGCAGGTCTTCGAAACTGCACCGCACCCACCCAACCCCGAGTCTGATGTCGGTCCGTGGACCGGACGGTCTAAGTGAGAGGAGCAGACGGGTCCGTGTTACGGTCTGACTGAGAGCGATAGGCCGTCAGGTGGACTGCGGGATCTCCTAATGGGCACACGGCGCCCGACGCGGCCCGGCCATCTCGCCACCTTTTTGCGTGATTAGCGGTCATCGCGGAAATTGGTTTCATTTGTCACGTTTTTGTGTGAGGTGGTGGCGATGTTTCACCGTCACGTCTAGATTGTATGGCGTTCTAGTTTGTCGTGGATCTTGCCACCTGCTCTGGATATCGGGCTGATTGTTTGAAATTCTATTATGTTTTGGTGGGAAACTCCGTTTTTTTTCGTTCTCTGGTCATAAAGACGGGTCTGACCTAGATTATATTCAGTTATCCAACTGGCTGAATTTTGGTGTGTTTTCACCTCGTTATTTATTGTCCCATCGTCAGAGTTCATCGCCCCAATATCAGTCCAGAGTTTCATCGTTCGCCGCCTGGAGCTCTGTGGGCCGGGGTTTTCCAGCCACCACGATATACGAGTACGGAACACTAGGCTCGGTAATGCTGAGTTGTTCTCATTTTGGCTCATCGCTATCGAACGTTGTGTTTCGGCCGTTTTGACTTTGCAAAGTTTTTAATAGCTTAGGTCTTTCCGTCGTTCTGCAGATAAGTTACAAGAAATCTTAATTATATATTTGTCCAATATTTATGCGACGTTTTGGCGATGTGCCGAAGCAGTTCTTAACAACGGTTACCAATACTGCTATCGGGAGTCCATCTTTCACACTCATTCAGTCTTGAACCTCACCCTGTTGCGACCGATTCTGGGTAAGTTCGTAACCGTTGCATACACCTGCCTCAACCTATTCGTACCCATGACGTCAGCCACCATCCCGCCTAAGCCCAGACTGGCTTGAGCGCCGGCTACTACTGAACCTGTGATGTGCATGATCTGGTGGCCGCTTCACTGCCTCACTCCCTCCCTGCCGGCTCCCACCCAGCGCGTGAAGTACGTGAGTGCGCGGGCGTCGGCCGGTGTGCGATCGCTCTGTACCTGTCCGTCCGTCCGAACTGTCGAGTCATCCTCTCAGCCGCCAGTCATTGAAAAGGCTGCCCGGGAGGCACTGGCCGCCGCCCGCCGCTCGCCCGGCCTGGGTACTGATGGAGCGGCATTACAGATCTAACGGTCCGAGCGGCGCGATGAAGGAATGGGCAACGGCGCGCATAGTGTGATAGAATCAGACCGGCGGCACGTAAAGTGCGAAGTGTTGGACGGAGAGCTTGGGAGTTTCTACTTTTGATGTAGAAGTAGTCGAGTACTTGTGGTTAACGGGTCTATGTTTTGCATAATAAATGGCATTGTAGACATTGATGTGAAATTACGGGCTTTCCGTTATGTCTATGATAATTGACCAACCCCGTGTCCGATTCACAGCGTTGCACATGTCCCACCGCACCTGTCGTATGCTGACGCTCCGTGTCTGTCCGTTGCAGGCGCTGCTGGCCGAGTTTGGTCGGGAGCCGCCGGTGGCCGCCTCCCCGGACAGCTGTGGGGACGGCCCGCCCCCGCCGCCGCCCCCGCCCGTGGTCACTCTGACCCCTCAGCGCGGAGAGGGTGCCGACCAGGCCGGGGGAGCCGCCGGCCGGCCGCCGCCGCCGCTGCTGCCCTACACGTCACCCCAGAACGGACACGGACACTTCTTCATGCCGGGAATGGGCGGAGACACACCCACATCGCTCGGTAAGTGACGACCGACACTAAGGCTGATTTATCGATCGTTATGACTCGAGGCAGTCGCACTCAAAACTCAAATTCATAAAAAATAGTCCCTGTAACCTATGAAGCTCGGAAAGTCTCAGGCAGTTGTGTGTGGTGTGGCTTTGTATCGGAGGAATCTCCGTTAAGTATACAACATTTGGTATTTCACAATCACAATCACAGGTATGTGGATGGATTTTACCGCCATGTGTGTTGATTGTTGGGGCTCGAGCCCGCACAGCAGCTGCCTGTGCCATCCTAGCCGGTCTGCGGGCAGCTCCAGCCGCAGTACGGCCTGTACTATCCAGTCGGACCGCTCTGTTTGTGATGAGGTGCCCTCAGTAGAGCTGAGTCGCCGCCCGCATACCTGACCACCGGCACCGCTGCAACACCGGTACCCGTGCTGTTGATCAGAGCCGGCGGGCAGACGTCGGGAAAAACTCCCACGAGAGAGCCGCCCGGCTCTGCCCCAGCGTCGGCGGCCGGCGCGGCTCGGGTCCACGACCTCCCGAAGTGGCCCACCATTTATCCGACGGACGGCCGCCGCGGTGACGACGCCGTTTTTGCCCCTGTTTACGCCTCGGGCCGCTCAGCGGGTGGTAGACAGCAGCGCCATTCGGCGGGAGTTAATCGAACTAACACTTGTGTTTCGCCCGCTAGGTGTCTCTAAGCGGAACACGCCCGATTCGCCGCACGTGCTGGCGGCGCTGCAGCAGATCTCTGCCGGTCTGATCACCGTGGCCGAGGCTTCCATCCAGTATGACATCCCCATACCGACGCTGTATGTCAACATGCGCCGACAGGGTGTCAAGGCGCGCGGACGCGTCGGCATGGCAGGTATGTGAGAGCCTTTGATGGTTTGATAAGATGAGTGAAAACGGAAGGGGGATTAGAACGTCCCGGAATTATGATAGAGTTGCTCTGTATGGCCTGGTAACGAAAAGCAAGGGCATTATCAGGCTGCTAGTGATATTCTCTTGCCTGGCAATATACCGTTCAACGCGTCGTTACGATTACGATAACAAGTTCCAGCATACGATCTATACAGGCACGAATTATTTTCTGCCTGTCACGGTGTGCATACTATACTATCTATACTCTCCCATGTTCCCAGCAGCGGTAGCCCTTACCGCACACTGTATGTTATGCCGCTCCCTGAACCTTCACCGCTCACACCTGCATACTTATCTGAACTCTGCAGTTATAGCGTATAACTGCAGAGTAACTGCAGTGTTCTAGATTTTAGTGTTCCTTTGCCGTTGTCCGCAGGCAAGAGGAAGCCGCGCGGTGTGATGAGCGCCGAGATGCGGGACGCCCTGGAGGAGATACGGGCCGGAACCATCACCGCCTCCAAGGTCAGTACGCGTGTCACCAATACAGTAGCCTGCGGGCTCTGTCCGCCTCAGTGGCAGCCCAGCCAGTCAGCTGCTAGTAGAAGGGGTTGGGGGTTAGCGGTGGTGTAGTCGGATCTCTCTCTCTCTCTCTCTCTCTCTCTCTCTCTCTCTCTCTCTCTCTCTCTCTCTCTCTCTCTCTCTCTCTCTCTCTCTCTCTCTCTCTCTCTCTCTCTCTCTCTTTCTCGCTCTCGCTTTCTTGCGCACGTCGTGCGCTCACTCATTTACTTATATTCAACCCCTAAAGCACTCAGCACCTCACTAACTAAATCGAGCTATGTAGTCGGCGCGCCCTAAAGCCCCAATAAACAACAACTACGGGGCCAACAGTAAGCATTCAATACTTGACAGTTCTAACTTTCAGATAAGGCACTTTATTTTATTAAAAGTAAAGGTGTTTTAATCTGGATATAAGCAAATAATGGCATTTCTTTTAGTTCATTTATAGCGTCTGAATATATCTTTCGACTTTCCCGCTAGGCCTCTCGGAAATACAACATCACCCTACCACGCCTGGTCTCGTGGATGCGCAAGACGGGCGTCAAGAGCGCCTACGCCAAGGGCCCGATGGCGATGCAGGCGGCCTCGGTCGCCCCGCCGGCCGTCCCCGTGCCCATCCCTTCGCCGGTGCCGGAGATGCGCCTGGCGTAGTTCTGCCACCTGACGGAGCGACCGTGCTGCCACCTGGCCGGCCGGCGCTGCCGAGCGACAGCAGCATATCCGGGCTCCCAGAGAGCCCGCACCCTCCCGTGACGTGTCATCAGCCGCGGCGCGGCGCCTCGCGCACGAGCTGGCGCGCACCCCGCGCCAACAGCCATCGCCTTGCATGGACCACGTTAGACGCTGATTGTAGTGTTCTAAACACAGTGTATATATACAAGACGGCGTTCGAAATGCCTTCAGGTAGCTTAACTCCGGTTTTGCCAAAGACAAGAGATTTTCCTGTCGTAGCTAGTCAGCGATGCGTTTCCTTACAGTATTGTCGTCGAGTCTTTTCGTTTTTGCAAGACAGCTAGGTTTTGCAGCTAAGTATTCTCAGCAGCTTTACGTTTCTTTTGTTTTTATTTACATATGCATGCTGTATATTGTAGCTGAGTGTTTTTTTTTCTGCATGATCTCCTACGTTTGTACCAAATAGCAGGCCAGAACGTTTACAGTATATGTTTTCGTTCGTTGCGTAACTGTTTGACTTGGGTGATGTAGCCCAGATATTTCGTTTTCTGTGCCAGTAGAATTGGATCTGTGTTCAACTCTCGGTTCTTGAGAGTGAACTGTTGCCTTTGTGATTGTGAATACTCGCGTTTTGTATTAATATTCCTAGATTGACTGGGTATCAACCTTCCTGATCATTGTGTAGAGGAGTAGAACTCGCTACATGTCGTGCAGATATTTGAATTCACGCCACGGAGGCATTCAATGGTATTTTTATAGTGACAATTTTCTTCCAATGGCTGTCCTCTAAGGACACTGATCGGTTGTTTTGGACGGCATGATTTCGAGTATTTGTCCGTGTGTGTAGCCGAGGTGTCGCGCTGTCCTCACTCGCCTTCGGTCTCGCTGTTCTTTGTACCGTGCCGTCTTTCACCTTTGCGATTTCGGCCGCTGGCGGCTCTCCCTGTTGGGTCATTGCGGACGTGCGCGTGCGCGCTCGCGCCTCGTCCGTCCGACCACCTCCCGCGTGCGGCGTCTTCCCGGGACGGGCCGACCGGCCAGCTCCGGCTGGCGGCCCGCTCATATGCATCCCGCGCGCCTGAAATCGATTTTCGGCTGCGGCGGCGCGGAGTGAGACCTTCGCAGGCGTGTGTTTTGTAGTGGCGCTCGTTTTGTATTTATCTTTACATCGGCGGAGAGCAATAGTGGTACGCAGCGGCCAGTGATTTATCTGTACCCTGAATGGGTGTCTGTCTCGCGTGGTGAGGTGTCTCGGTGTTCGGGATACCCGCTGTCTCATTGTCAGCGAACATCAGCTCTCGGGGTGGAAGCGAACATCAGTCGCTGTTTGGGAGGTACGGGGCCGAGCCTCTGTTTAGGAGAGACGGGACCGAGCCGCTGTCTCTAAGAACGGAGGTGGAGCGGCTGGTACCTCCCCGCCTGTACCGACTGTACCGCAGCGGCCGCCGCCACTGTACCTACTACCTACCAGTACTCGCATCTGTCTAAATACTCCCCCTTCTCGCCCAGACACTCAATAAAGAACAAATTTTCTTTACACTTGCGTTTTTATCGGTTGATCAGTTTGTTTGGTGTAAAACAATTGAAAACGACTCGAGTGCTAGCCTAAGGATTTGAGGTGTTTTCGTGATGTCGCCACTCGGCGAAGGTTTTTTTTTGTCTTTAGGTAAACTTCAATTTACACTGACAGTCAGCCCTGAGCTACACAGTGGCTCTCCATGAATGGGCGTCTGCGTGTCCGTTGCACGGCGCGGTTATCGGCACTGACCGGCGACTGCCGACCGGTCGGAGATAGTCTGGTCGGTCCGGAAACGGTGCTCCTTCCGCCTGGAACTGCGAACAACGGCCCTCACCGTCAGTGGGTGGTGGCACGTGTTGGGGGTCGCTCGTTACAGCCATGTCTCGTCTTGGTGTCAGTGTCACGTGTTTGTCATGTGTTCTCCATGTGGCGGTGTTCAGCACTCTGCTAGCAGCGGCGGTGAGTTTGCACCCTCCTGAGTTACCGGCTGCTGAGGGGACTCTCAGAGCCAGGTCAGCCACCGAGCCGCCTCAGGCCGCCTGTCGTCTGCCCCGGGACCGCGGCTGGCGCTGTTCGCCTGGCCCCACACTCCGCTGGTACCTGGACGAAGAGCAGGCCGACTGTGTGTCGTTCTGGTACTCCGGATGCGGAGGAAACTCCAACAACTTCCCCACGGAGCGCGCGTGCAGGGAGGTGTGTGTGGAACCGGACGGCCCAGCGGTCTGCCTCCTCCCGGCCGGCCGCGGGCCGTGCACCGACAGTCAGCTCCTGTGGACCTACGACGCCGAGACGGGGCAGTGTGTGACGTTCGTCTACGGCGGCTGCTACGGCACGGCTAACCGCTTCTTCACGCGGCGTCAGTGCGAGCGGTCGTGTGTGACGGACCACGACTCAGCTGATGGGGACAGCGGGGCCGACCCTGACTGTCTACAGCAGGCCGGTGTGAGCGGTCAGTGCGGTGCCGAGCTCGTGAGGTACACCTACCTAGCTGCTGCCGATGTGTGCACGCCGTTCCTCTACGGTGGCTGTGCCGGCAACGGGAACAACTTCGACACGTTGGAGGAGTGCAGAGAGCGATGTGGAACTCTCACTGATGACCAATCTAAGACTAAAGAGAACTCCACTGAGACGGCTTTTACCCGGGAGGCTACTTCTAACAGTTCCGACAAGGTTACAGCACCCCCGGTAGACGCAAGCATCTGCTTCCTTCCTCGCGACTCCGGCTCCTGTCTCTCTTACGCTCCCATGTTTTACTACGACGTTCGCACGGCGAGTTGCCATCAGTTCATCTACCGGGGCTGCGGCGGCAACGCTAATCGATTCCACACGAGCGCGGAGTGTCGGCAGAGATGTGTGGATGCAGGTGATGGTACGGTGGGCGGCTCGGAAACCAGTGATCTGGAGAGCGTCGACGAGCAAGTGGTAAGCGGACAAGCTCAGATGAACATCACAGGAGGCGAATCAAGTACTATCAGCAGCCAGGTGCAGGACGGCGGCGTGGAGAATGAGACTAACGAAACGAAACGAAACGAGGCTTCCAGTGTTGCACCAACAACGAATCCCTCTACTACACCTGCTTTGGTTTCAGGAAAGGGGAACCTAACCTCCCCAGCCATCTCAAGAGCGCCCCATCACCGTCGAAGCCGGCCGGTGCCTCTCCACAGACCCCCGGGTCGTCGGCGACGTCTCCGCGGCCGTCGCGCCTGTCTCCTCCGCCCTCGGCCCGGCCCCTGTCAACACTACCTACCGCAGTTTTACTACTACAACGCCGACCTGGCCGCCTGCTTCGCCTTCATCTACGGTGGATGTGGAGGCAACAGGAACCGGTTCGTCACCAAAGAGGCGTGTGAGAGCCACTGCAGGGGTGTGCGGAGGCTGGGGTCGCACGGAGAAAGAGTGCTCGATGGTGGAGGGACGCGGGGAGAGAGGGACCGGGACGGAACTCGGAGACCAGTGCCGGAGAGGGGAGGTGTTAGAGGGACGCGGGGAGAGAAAGACGATCCTGGAAGGTCAGTAGCAGACAGCGGAAGAACGCAGGGAAAGAGGTACGGACCTTGGAGACCAGTGCTGGACAGGGGAGGACTTCCTCTTCGTGAAGGGACGCGGGAAGAGAAAGACGATCCTCGGAGACCTGTAGCAGACAGAGGAGGGACGCGTGGAGAGACGGATGGACCTCGGAGACCAGTGTCAGCCGAGGGAGGAGCGTAGGCTGAGAGAAACGGCCCGGCGACTGCTGCACCGGTGACGTGATGCGAAACCTGGAGGATGACCTGGATGAGATGTGAAAGGACCGGTCTGAAGGGGGATGAATGGAAAGTGCCTGCTGTCAGAAAGAAAGCCTTAGAACAGTGCGCTAGAGTGCTGAAGCGGTAACTATAATAAGATGCGAATTAAAACTCATCTGTGGGTGATTAATGTAGTCATGGCCTGAGAGCATTCGTGACCTCTAACCCGTTCAAAAGTGTATCAGACCCCTTGTTAGAGAAACACATTCGTTCGGGATGTGTGCCAAATCGCGATCAGAAGGTTGGAGTGCACGTGGGCTGTCCGTTTCATACTCCACAGTGACGACACGTGTTTTGCATACGCCCGTCGGGTCAGCGGAGACTGCTGGGCTGCCATAGTTGCATATCGGTCTGTCAGGGAAAGTGTATCGGTAAGAGGAGCGTTTGGTCGGTCCGGGATCATACGGATTGAATTATGTTGGTCGAGAGACTGCAATAAATAGTGTAGGATTACTTTATTTGTAGGTCACTTTTACTTCATTGGTGAATAACAAACTTCTTCTGTATGCCTAATGCCCATGGATTGAGGTAGAAGTGATCGGCGAATATGCGGTATACTCGTACATAGGTGCCACCGTTTAAAGGCATAGTCTGTATCATACGCAATTTCGCGCTTATTTCCACCAAATAACAGAGTGCACGTAAGGGTTATTGAGAAAGCAGAATGACTGAACGCCGAACGGTTTGGCGCCGCAATGATTACCGGCAGAATTACGGCGTGTCCGTGTGTTGGCGTCGGTGTGCGCGCAACAGTCGTGTCGGGGGCGGCGGCGGAGATCTGACACCGTCATCGTGTTTGTCATGGCGCGGCGGTGACGGTTGTGGCGCACTCGGCGCCGCCGCCGGCCTGTTGCAACGCGCTGGCACGAGCCGAGACTGGTGCGCCGAGGCCATCTCACCAGGCAGTGCAGTGGAGAAACGCCACTCGATATAGGAGGGCGCGCCCGCCGCCCACGGATCCGGCCAGCGGAGAGGGTCCGGTCTGGGCCGGAGCTAAATGTGGTCGGTCACCTCCCCTGGCGGAGCCGAAATCCGGGGACACAGCCCAGTTTCACAACTGGGACACATTGGGTTCGGCGCGTCAGTCCGTCGTGAACCGCGCGCGTGAGGCAATGACGCCTCTGCCGCCGCCCGTGCCTCCCGCCGCCACAGAGCGCCGTGACGTAACTGATGACGTCACCGCTGACCTGGCCGTGCCGGGCACCGATCGCCCCAGGCAGTCAGGTGCCCCTCAAGGCAGGGTTATGGCCGGATTCAACCCGGTGTCAGTCCTCATCTCTGAGCTCTCGTATGACGGGTCATGTATTGATCTACATGACGGGTCAGATGTATTGCTTTGATTGGCACCGATCTCGAATCTGGTATCCGTTTTGTTAACAATTTCAGTTCGAGTCAGAGTCGCAGCGCAGTCGGAGGGACACTACCACGACTCCAAAACCCTGGTCACCTCTGCACCGGCGTGATTCAAAACGTATGCATCCGAAAACTTTTCCTATCAATTTTGATTTTGGCTCAAGAGTGCGACTCTTTTTGACGGTGAATACTTTCAGAGTGTAAAGAAGATAGTCGCTTGGTAATAGTCCCAAAGCAATTTTTACATTTTGATGTACTTTTTGAATTTGTACTTCCGTTTGTAAAAGGTTAACGCCTCTCCCCTTCGGACGTAGCCAAGTGATCGTATGTTTTTGGTTATCGCGACCCGTTAGTCGTTAACCTGTCCGAAGTCATTGATAATTTGACAGGGACAGCACCGGGGATCGTGGCAGGCCAACGGATAGGTATCTATAATATATAAGAAGGCACTAAGACATTATTAGTTATTACATATGTAAGTTACTTCAGGCTCGCATGTCAATTGGGACTATGCGCGATACGCATTATACAATCAATCTTTTAAGGAGTGAAAATTGGACTGGGAGTGATGCTGCGCTGATTCTTGGATTATCTATGACGCAAGTAAATAGACGGTCATCAATGGTGCGAACCGGGCCGCTGACGCTGTAAAGATCAATTTGAGTCACTGCTCGCTGACTATTGCGGGATGACCTGTGCGCTGAAGTAATGTCTCTAAACACTAAAGCGGGCATGGCGACGTCAGTTGCCCAATGAGTCGTGACTCCGAAAACAGGGGACACAGTAGCTCACTTCAGTGATTTGACATGGGATGAAGAAACTGCCGTCATCGGAGCTTTAGAAGTAGGTCGTGGGAGCCCCATTTCAAAATTGCGAATGTCAGGTACCTAGCTAATAAAAAGTGATGCTGTTTGCGGTATAGAATATAAGGAAATGTTATTGTAAGTATTCAGTTGCTAATGCCTAAATCTCTTTAGTTTGGTCTTGAGACGTCCAGTCTCCGCTCAATCACCATAGCCACAGGAATTAGGGTGCGGTGTTATGCTCACCCTATAGCGCTTTACCTTTAGAATATCGGAAGGTACCTAGAATGCAGTAGGCTTCTGGCAGCCGTCTGCACTCTGCAGTGTGACGTGCCTGCTCAGTTACCTATACAGTGGTGTGTATTTACTATTTATTCGGCATGCTATCCCGTTTCACTCTTTTAGGTGATGCCCCGCTTTGCAAGCGCTGGCCAACGTTGTTTCTTCCGTGTGATTGTTAGGCTCAGCATCAACAATGACGCATGCAAACCATGCAATCTGCAGCGACGTAGCGCTTCTGCTTCCTGTGCTTTGTATTTGTAACGTGCCGACCTTGTACGCACAACGTATGCAAAGCACGCATTGTCATCGTCATATGCCTTGAATGACGCGCTGGAGAAGCTTCCACGAGGTGCTTTGTCGTCAGCCGTAAACACCAACAAGCCTTCTCGAATGCGTCCTCGTTGAGTGGACGTTTACGATCTATGCCTGAGGGTTCCTCAGACCGGATACTGGCGACCCTGGCCCGGCTAACACGGTCCGAACCAACCGGAACATTCTGCGGATTCAGTCCCACCTCCGTCACCGAATTTACGCGCCGGGAACCCCCAAGGTCGCGGCCCAGTGCCGGTGGCGCCGTGACGCCCCGTGACATACCGAACGCGTCACGGCGCCGCCCGCGGCTGGTGAGAGGCGGCGCGCCGACCCTGACCACGGCCGGTTCATTGACTCGGCGGCCGGCTGCCTGGAGTGCGGTACAACAGGGGGCGGGGGTGTACACTGTACAGTGGACCGATGACCGACGAGCGACGCGACGGCGCGGGCAATGGGAGGGTTCGACAGCCGACGACGGCGGCATAAACCTAACCGGAGCGCTCGAGCGACCCGAGTTACTTGATCGGCCTCAGAGCCGAGGGCCATCCGGCGATGGTTGAGCCGATGTAGTATCTTCTGCAATGACAGAATGCATTTGAAGATGAATTACACGTTCTTGACCCCAGGGTTGCGCAGTCTGAGTCTGAGTCGGAGTCGGTCGGAGTCGACAGTTCTGCCCGGAGTCGGAGTTGGAGGTGCCCAAATCTTACCGACTCCCTGTTGCTTGACGATTCTTTGCTTGTTGATCTTTCAAAAACAGATTTTGTCAAAAAAAAAAGGTGGTATTCCTGGTTGAGACGAGCGTTTTGAGCGAAAGAAGCAGAAAACGACGGATTTACCAGAACCTGCTTTTAATTTAGCATGCTATTTATCAAGCACATTTGCAATGCAAGACCTTGGAACGCACAAAAGATCGTTTCAGACGAAATACAAACATGTCCACTATGTTATAATTATATGGATTTTGAAAGAAACGTCCTCAGTCGGAGCTGGAATCGGAGTCGGAGTCGATTGTCGAAGCCGGAGTCGGAGTCGGAGTCACCCGAAAATCTATCGACTCCACAGCCCTGCCTGGCCCTATATGCACAAGTTCCGTTGATCCCTGAGGTCAAGCAAAACATGAGTGGATGCCGCTTTCTTTATTTAATGAGTTTAAACGATAAGCGGTAGGTATAGCCTAGGTAGATTAATTCACACTTTCAAGTTTGTCCCATTTTAAAAATATGTAACGCTTAACCCTATTAGTGGCAGGCTCCTGGCTACTAGGTTGTATATTGGGGGTTTTGATGTTTGAGACTATGGGCAATATTTTATTAACAAATATTGTCGTTATCCTGCCCATTAGGTACCTGTTATCATTTACTTGTTATCCATGCTCATTACCTACCTGTTATCGTGATCGGTTGATGCATTACAAGAAACGACACAAATTCAAGGATTCGATCAGTTCGACTTTGCAAAGTTCTAATTAACTTTTTTAAAAGAAGCAACTATTTAATTGTTTAATTGTTCTCACAATTTTGTATATCTTGGATTTTCTACAAGCTCAGGAGGACGTGCACGCTATTTCGGCATTAGCCGTTTTCACGACGGCCATCTGGTACGCATTTGGTGCACATCTGGTGCAGACAGGTGCAGATTTGGTCAAATCAGGGTCAGTGTGTATCTTAGTAGCTATCAGCTAGGGTTGCACTATTTGCTTATATGCCTGCTTTGTCATATTATCAGAGAGTATCATCGATTAAAACACTGAAATTAATTCATAAAATAAAGATATTTGCTGTAAAAGAAATTAGGTGCAGATTTGGTCAATTCAGGTGCACTCGCCGGATAGCCCGTCGTGAAAACGGCTATTATCATTCAAGTTTGAGAAGCAAGAAAACCGCTCCTTTCTTGTTCCTGAATTGACTGCAATAAAATACGAAGTATTATGCCTCAAGCACTTGAAATATGGTTTCGTAACCTCTTTGCAAGGTTCGATGGTTACGTTTTCCCTTTTAAACCTACCGTGTCGTCATACATAGGTATGAGACGTTACTAAGAACATGTCACGTGTGAGGCCATCGGGGTCTTTCGTCCAGACCAGAACATATCGACCAAGTTGAATTGGTAAGCCAGGATAGGTAGACACTACTAAAGAGCTCAGAACGATCGTTGCCAAATCGAATGATAAGTAACACCATGCCTCCCATAGACGAACGTCTTGAGTGTCCGGCCTTGACTTGACCTTGACCTTAGATCAAGGGCCAACTTGATGATCTTCAAGCAAAAATTGTATCGACGCGCCTGGATTAGCAAATGCGACCTTTGCTCCGTGACTGTTGCTTGCTGAATGCTGAGTCTACTTACGAAAAAACCGGAGCCTGTATGTTTGGTCTCTTACCTCTTCTCATAGAGCACCGGTTGATCTGTGTCATAACTATTGGCTGCCATAAATTGTATCGGAAAAGGCAATCTGATTAACCCTCGCCGGCCGAGGGGGGGTGCCGCCCCTTCCATAGTTTTTTTTTCGCGATAGCTCCGAACACGCTGGCGATAGAGAGCTGAAACTTGGCATACCTGACCTTTGATTCAAGCCCGATCTTTTGACACCAACCGCATTTTCGGGTCAGGTCAGGTCACTGACCTATGACGTCATAAGTGAACCTCTGAACGGTCTTCAGATGTCGCAAATTCGCAACGCCCTCACTGCCAGAGGAGATGTCACAGGGAAATGAAACTTGCAGGATCTAGTATCCATTATGAGTCTCACAGCTTGTATATTTCGGATTTTTCATATAGGTCATATGAGGTCAGGTCATTTTCGTGACCTCACCATTATAAGTCAATGGGGAAAAATGAAAACTGCTATTCTGGCGCCGGGAACGATCTCCAACTATCTCAAGCACACAGAATCGTGATTTGATGCACTCCTTGCAAGGTAAATGCGTCACTTTTGCAATGTTGACCTTGCGTGACGTCATTTATGACGTCATCAAGGTCATATTAGTTTTTCGTCAATAACTCCCGATCAAATTGAGCTAGCGAATCGGGAATGCCACCAATGGACTCAGGAAGACCTGCCGAATCGAATGATATGCGACATGACCTCTTTCGACCAGCTTCGTGACCTAGGGGTGCTGACCTGACCTTGACCTGAGGTCAACGCCCTAAGTTGACCTGACCCAAACAAAAAGTAGGCATATCATTCGACGCGCCTGAGCGAGGCGAATACGATGCTGACAAAATCGCGGCTCTGCGGCCGTTTTTTTTTGCGAAGTTATTCACCAAAAACTGAACCGTACCTTGAGGCACTTAGTCTTGACCTGACCTCAGAGGTCACCGGTTGACCTAGGACCTTAAAATCGGGTACCAATCTCTGCGTCTCGTAACGGCGCACACGCTCGTTTTTTCCACGACGCACTAGCTCCACCAGGGGCGAAACGGCGAGGGGGGTCGTACCCGCCCCCCCCCCCTCTGCCGGCGCGTATGTAGAAAACCAATAGGTCCGGCGAGGGTTAAAACCCTGTGCTCCAATGGCCCAGACAAACTTGTTGATTCAGATAGCTTGTTTTTTATGTATAAACGTTTTTTGCGCCCTTCTATACGGAACGAGACATTCTTATTCGTAGATAATCTACCCATAACCCATAGGTATGCTGTTCCGGTGCGTTGTAACGTCTTTATTCAGCCTGCGATTGTCCTTTCTCTTTTGTTTTTATTTAGCGTGAAACGAGGCCTGGAAAATACATCCGCTTTCTGCAACATGGTTCGCTGAGCTAAGGTACGTTCCCTTGTATTTTACTAACATAATTTGATTTACCACCAATGTATTTTGTAATTAGCAATACATGAATCATTACGAGCTGCTTAATTGAACAACGAATCTATTTATTGCACTTTATACCTTTGATGCATCTTATTTTACAGGCGTTGTGTATCTGCACCATCGCCTGTGTTTCCCCATGTTATTCACCGCCGCGCGGTGACCTCCAGATGCAGCCTACTACTCACTGCACGGCGTCGGCCCACTCAAGGTCCCGGCCGGCGGCCGATATAAGCGCCCGCTGACCCACAGACGAACCACTCTTGGTTTCGGTGCGGTGACGGAGCACGTGCGGTGAGAGACAGAGACGGCAAGAGAGAGAGAGAGAGAGACACATAGTGTTCAGACTACCATCAGGTGAGAGAGGAGAGGGAGAGGGGTCGCGTGACAGGTGCAGTGACGGATCAGATAATCCTGTGGTTGACGAGCGACCGCAGAGTTCTCGGCTGAGCCGATTGTGGTTACTGTGGTATGGTGAGGTAGGACTGGCGGGACAGGTGCAGACTGCAGAGTTGTACCGTATGTGTTTGTCTGTGTCCCTTTCTGCAGCGTGAAATAAGATCTCAATTTTGTACGTAACATTTTTTATACGAAATAATGAGTAAAATACTACATATATTTTTACTTTTGGTACCTCAAATGGGATAGACGAGAAACCTCAAACCGATGTGTATGGTGGTTGCTGATGCTGTGCAAGGGTGCAAAACAATTGCTAAAACATCAGACATAGTTACCTATCTGGAAAATATCAGCTTGCTTCTATATCTACCATGTTTAACTGAAGTCAAAACAAATGCATTGCATATTATGTTGAAAGGAATGGGGAATGGGTTCGTAATTCCTTTCGGAGGATATTTTACGAAAAAAATTTGAAGGTTTGTCTTGATAGCAGGGGCTTTGTGTGAAGAAACTGCATATTTATATAGTAGTTATGCCTATTTATCATTCATGCCTTTATCACTCGGCATTCGAGTAAAAGACTCGAGTAAACCCGTCATAAACCCTTCGGTTGTGTAACGTCAAATCTTTACTTTGCGAGTCAAATTCGCAGCAAAAGATATCGCTCGATACCTTAAATTCGCAGAAAAAAGAATAGGTACGTACTCGATTTCACAGAAGAGTATCTACCAGTATAACGCCTTTTGGGGCGACTAACGGAGCGAGCGAGAGGGTGAGCCTTGCACGTGCGAAATTTCGAGGGGGTATCTCTAGCTGACTTGTGCACGGCACCCTACTAACCGGACTCTAGCGATGTGCCAAATTTGAGCACAATCGGCCCAGCCGTTCTCGAGATCTGGAAGCGGCACCCTGCACGTGCGCACGTGCAAAATGGGTCCCAACTGACTTTTGCATGGCACCCTACTAACCGGTCCCTAACCATGTACCAAATTTGAGCGCCATCGGTTCAGCCGTTCTCGAGATCTGGAATCGACCCCTGCACGTGCGCACGTGCAGCAGCACCCCAACACTGGCACATGGATATGCATTGCCTAGTGGGTGCCTACCTACATGTCAACTTTCAGCACAATCGGCCAAGTAGTTACTGAGATATTGCAACAATTACAAAAGTGACACCTCTTCGTTTTGCACGTGGCACGTGCATAAGCGGTCACCCACATGCATCGGGAATAGTCCAATACTTGGTAGAAGGAACGAAGCTACCCTACAAAAATTACCGCATGTAAATCGGTCAAGTGGTTGCTGAGATATAAGCGTCGCAAAACCGTGACCACGGCCGGCCGGCCGGCCGGCCGCTCATACTCAGAAATTTCCGTTATTCTACGTAAAGGCCTGGCTACACTATGCGTTTTCTTCGTGCGTTTTTTGCGTGTTTGCGTGTTTTGCGTGATATCGTTCTAGAAAAAAGAACGATATTACGTTTTTGTGATGTTTTTCACCTTCAATTTTAGTTACATAAGAGTTATATTAGCTTTTGTATATAACCAAAGTAAAAATTATATTGTTTATAACTCTTTTCCTAGAACGATATTACGCAAAACACGCAAACCTGCAAAAACGCACGCAGAAAACGCATAGTGTAGCCAGGCCAGGCGCATAGTGTAGCCAGGACTCCGCTCGCTTCGCTCGCTCCGTAACAAATGCCTAACCTCTGAATTGGAGCGGGAGATGAGCGATTTGTGCTCTTGCTGATTTTATAAAAAAGTAATGTATCAAACAAACTTATGTGTTTTTTTAGCATAAAAGGGGAATGAAATATATTGCGTAGGGCCACATTGATGACGTCATCCGTTTATGTACTATACCGACGGACACCTACCTCGGAGATACGATGGAGAGACTTTCATGAGAGCCACAAATTGACCCTCAATTGACCCTTGTCGATTCGCCCTTGACTCCCTTAGTAGCCGCAGGCTATGAGTCACGCCACAGTCTCCTAAAAACGCCACAAAAACGGGTGTACGATACGGACCATTAATTGCCCAGCTGTGTTGCCCAACACCGGAGTAGCCCGACCGAGGGTCACTGCCGGTTACGCTAGTACGTCGTGTGAACAGCAGACCGAGCGAGGCACGTAACGTCAGACCGAGCGTGACACGTGACGTCACGCCAGGAGTGACCTCCAAGGTCGCTCGGCGGCCGGCGGGGGATGCGTCACGGTCCCTGTGGTCCGGTGAGTCCGTGCTCGTGGTTGTAAAGACGCCACTCAGTAGGTCGCTGGTGTAAAGACGCCAGGACCCGGACCGCCGAGCGTTGCGCAAGAGGTTTACCCATGCTATGATCACCGAGTGAGTCACCGTTTACGTCTTTTGATTACCTACCGAATGCACGCACTGTTCACATTCGATAATTATAGCCATGATATATTTGCATTAGACTCTTATCTCAAACATTATTGATGCATACGGTAACCACATCACGCGATTGACAAAACTAATCAAATATTTGAATGCCTAGAAAAAAAGGTAACCTCAAAGACACGATCGACATAAATTGAGTCGAATTTTAGAACGTTTAACGCTGCTCAGGTCAAACGAGGTCACATGTGCAGTAACGGTTTGTGGTAAAAGTTACAATGGCCTGTGGACTACCGAGTGATATGCATTAATCGCAATTGTAACTGCTTTGCAGGTGTTTTTGCACCTGACCCGCAAATGACAAAAGGTCATTGCGTGGCCTTTAGCCCTTTGGGGGTAAATTCGATAGTGGACATTTAGGAATGTTTCAGCTGTCTTGAGCACGGATAGGCGCTTAATGCGGTAACTGATCAGCCATGTTATCAATATGCGGTAATGCTCAGTAATAACCGGTAGAACTCGTCTGTCCAGACTAAGAATGCAGTGACCGAACGAGTCTGGCATTGTCTGACCATGTTCAGCCGACTTATGGAATGACGTGGGTTTTGGAATGCAATGTCCGTTTCCTCTCCGCGGGAGTGCTGTCGGCGGCTAGCTGACCTCGGTCAATGCTATCGGATCCTAGTTGATATGGAGCAAAATTTGGAGCCAATCGGGCAATGTCAAGTACAATTTATCCAATGCCAGCTACCGCGGAGTTAAAACCTTATCTGACTCTTTTTTAAGCGTGGCGCTCCATACGAAATAAACAACTAGTTGCACTTATGGATGCGGTATGCTGGCCCATAAAATAGCCAGATCTGTTTTGCTTCATTTCATAAAGCCTTTCCGTCAGTCACTACCTACGACTGTCCGGTCGTTCGCCAGTCCTGGCTGGTGTCAAAGTGTTACGTTATTTATGTTTCGCTGTTACGTGCCGAGGTCAATTGGTATGGTACCGTATTGGCAGTCCCACGCATATGGCAAAACTGCTTTCTCTGGTCTAGTTTCGACATCGACTCGATATCGGCATGATTATCATGAACTATCGGCGATTGCAAATTGGGTAAAGGTACCAGCGCCCTTACAGATTGTTACGTTTCATTCTACAATGTCACAGCTTACGAGCCCGTATATCACTTGACATGAAATCTGGTCTCAGCGGCATATTATCATCGCGCATATCATCGGGCAGACCCCGCTTTCCCAACGGTGAGGTCAGATGAGGCTATGTAGAAACCAGCCGGGGTCCATGCTGACCTGGGCTCGCAGTGTCCGGCCGCTACCCGATATCGGCCGTCTGTATAAGGACCGGCCGGCTCACATGGGGCGGCCAAAACGTGGCGAAAGTCATGGTGGCAAACACCGCCCTCCACTGCCGTGCTGCGTCGTGACCGCGGCCTCGGCCAGGTGTGCATACGGTCAGCGGCTCGACCGGGCTGTGACACGGCGTTGCCCAACCCGCCCCCGACCTGACCCGGGCCGGCGCCGCTGCTGGGGCGGTGCGGGTCCACTGGTGCCAAGTGGCCACCGATGGCACCATCCGCGGCCCCCGGACAAGATATGGAGATGCAGTTGGTGGCACCGTCCCAGCCCGGTCGAAGGAGCCATGGTGGCGCAACCGTGTGCACCTTGCGTAAGGTAGCTGAGGAAGCAACCTTGCATGTATTATCGGCGTTTCAAAACGATGCGGGGGCATGGCGTGTTGTTCTGGTGTAATATGATCGAGCTGACTGGTGACCGCGCTACCGAGACGAATGGAGAACGGGCAGGGGGACCGAGCGGAATTCGTCGTCCGAGTCGTGCAAACATATAGCGCTCTTCACATTCCCACAACAAAATGTGACCATTTTCCTCTCGTGGCTGAATTCAGATACCAAAACGCCCCTTTCGTTCATTCCCGCTTAATGCTTATTCCGAACATACGGCCTTCTATCCCTACCGACAGAGAACGTCATGCCCTCTCTTACACGGAGTGCCCGACCACGTCTCCGTCCCATTTCCCTCCTCCTGCTTTCTCAACAAACACCAAGTGAGTGTCGGTACCTTGACCAATCTTCCAGCAAGCATCCCTTGAGGAAAACTGCCGTCTCCGTGCCCCCGGTTCCCATCTTCCCTCTCCTGAATCCCTCACTGCCCCACTGCAGGACTGGGTTAGGTCGTCACACAGGTGCCTCTCGGGGGCGACAGTGCGACCTTGGCGCCTAAGGAACGTTCACCAGCTCGGTGCCTGTCAGTGACCTGACCGCTGACCCAGATAGTGACGTCATCAGCCGTCACGGCGCCTCTGAGCACCGATTTCGCAGTTAATTCACACCTTTATGGCCATTTATTGCGACATGCGTTATGGCTGTTTGGTGCTGGCGTGACAGAACTGTTAGCTAAATAAGTCATTTCGACGTCAGGTTTTGGTAAACTGTTCGTATCAGCCCATACAGAGCATTGTATCGAGAGTACATGAACCTCCAGGCTCCACGACACGAATCAAACTATAAAACATTTACATTAAAAATGTTTTTATAGTTTTGTTTAAATGAAACAAGGAAAAATTTCCTTGTTTCATACAACGGCGCTGAAGAAGTCAATAGACGAAACCGGTACGCCTTTAACCCTCGCCCATGTAGGGGGGGGGGTTGGTGCAACCCCCCCCCCCTGAGGTTTTTCGGAAATAGTGCAAAAACGGCGGCGCGCAGCGCCGCCAAATTTTGGGTACCTTATGGGGCAAACCTTGCGCATCTTTTGATAAAAAAAAATTTGACCGGGTCATGTCAGGTCACGGAGTTATGACGTCACAAAGGGAACAGCTTCCGGCCGGATTTTCACAAACTGAGTGCCAACGCCCGAGGTTTCCTGCCGTTGGTACGGACATCGGTTGATGGATCGTGATGAAACTTCCCATGCATATTGGGGCAAGTATTGGCTATCATATGGTATAAGAAACTTGACCGGGTCAGGTCAGGTCACGGAGCTATGACGTCACAAGAGGAACAGCGTCCGGTACTATTTTTGAAAAGCGCCCGAACCACTATTTTGCTAATTCTTGTCACCTCAATGGGAATATGCAGCAATATTAGCTTCTATAGGGAGCAAATGGACCTCCCAAATCCAAAAATACAATCAGATTTCAAAAATTTAAATTTTGATTTTTCGAATTTCTGCCGCCGACTGTGACCTTGCCGACTTCCGGCGCTCCCAACGCGCCATTTTTAGAGCTAGGGAAACGAAATACATACCAAACGATAGAGAATTGATCAAGGAATACGATAGTGAAGGTTTCAAGTCGATATCTCCCACCGTTTTGCCGCAATCGCCGCCGAAAGTTGAAAAAAGTCTATTTTTCCGAAAATTTGACCTTTGACCGGTCAAAAGTAGGTCAAATGTTGACCTAGGACCAAAAAATATACCACCAATCGCGAGATCTCGGCGAGAGCAATCCGATGGTCTTTTCCGCTAAGCTCTACGACGCTCCGTTTTCAAACGCCAAGGGGGGGGGTCGCACCAACCCCCCCCTGCATGGGCGAAGGTGGCAGATCGCCGTTTACGGGCGAGGGTTAATGTAAATGTTTTATAGTTTGATTCGTGGAGCCTGGAGGTTCATGTACTCTCGATACAATACTTGTCCATTTATAACTACCATACAGAGCAGTGAACCAATCCGGTATCGGAATGTGAGCCTCTCCCGTACCGAGCTGCAAATTTGTCCCCGGTTGGCTCTAACCCTGTCCCCGTCCGGCAGGATGCGTCTGAGCCACGTAGCGGTGCTGGTGTGCGCCCTGGGCTGGGTGGCCGCCCAGGACGCCTACACCCAGGGCGTGGTGAACGGAGCCACGCTGGCCCTGGCCGGTACGGCCGTGGTCGGCCTGGGAGCCATCGCCATCAAACAGCATCAGGTGAGAGACCGGAGGACGAGGTGGTCTCTGGTCCGAGACCTGTGGTCTGTGTATGTTGTTTGGTCTCTGTCACCGGATTAGTGGCGCGGTTAGGACTGCTCCGTCCTCCGTCCTATACGACGGACGGTGAGATATGTTTCTCTCCTACCCTTCGTTCTCGTCTCACTCAGTCATTATTGTGTGCCTTTATGTGCAATGTTGCGATTCTCTAGAATCTAGAGGCTCCTCACTGACAGTCTGACGGCCACTGTGACCTGTTTCAGAACCGTAACCGCTACAGGAACCGGTACAGGTATAACGCGTACCCGTCCTACAACTACTACAACTACGACCCGTACTACCAGCAGCAGCAGTACTACTACGTAAGTACCAAACTGAATCCGAAACAGGAATTGACAGTCATCTGAAGTATGCATACGAGAATAGCTGATACTGCCGTTTCGTTTATAATTACGTATCGTCATCAAAGGTATTCCAGTATGTTGAATTTCATGACTATCTGAAGATGCATTAAACCGAGCTAAGATAAGACACGATGCAGTACGACATGATGCTGCATCTTTCGCTGCATCTTATCGTTTCATATTTTAAAATGACGTTTCATTTTTCTGCGCAGCGCCGTCGCCGCTCCACCGAGCCTGAGGACGACCTGGAGCGCGACTTTGAGAAGATCATGGCCCAGGACAAGGGCCAGTGCGGGATGAGAGTGGTCTGCGAGCTGGAAGCCCAGGCCGCCTCGGGCGCCGAGCTGAGCGACTTCGGCCGGCTCATCGTCAGCCTGTTCGGGTCAGTGGAGGGATCGGAGGGTCAACAGGGTCAGTAGAGGGGTCACAGGGATGCGACAGGGTCAGTAGAGGGGTTACAAGGGTGTGACAGGGTCGGTAGAGGGATTACAAGAGTGTGACAGGGTTAGTGAAGGGGTCTCAAGCTTATATGACACCCAAGGTAAGGTCACACTTTCAATTGATAAGCCCTTTTCGGAATATGTGCCTCAGCTTCGGTGGCTTTCAGTTTTGAATATGAAGTGATCAAATGGTTGGTCTTGTAACATGCCGATTGAAAAAGAAGCCATGATATCCTTTGCATAGGTGTGTTTAGAGACTTGTCGAGTGATGTAGCGAAGCGTCACCCTCCTACTCTCACTATCTCTCCAGTGCTGCACCGCCCACTGACCGCCACTCTTCCTCCACACAGACCGACTCCCGGGCCGGTGCCGGCCGCCGCGCTGGACACCGCCCACGGACGGTACGGGTACGCCGCCTACGTCGGCTTCAAGAGCGGCCTGGCCTCGTGTGCCGAGCTCTACTCGAGTTGCCAGTTCGGTAGCAAGACCATCATGAGGCTGGTGCAGGCCTCGCAGACCCAGCCAGCCGCCGCCGAGAACCTGTGAGGAGAGTATGGGTTGCCTCTGAGCTCTGAGGCCCGAGACCGTCTGAGAAAGGATTGTCAGTGTGAGAAAGAGAGGTGTACCAACAATGCCTTGCTGTCCTGAGCCCGCGGAAGGTATGCTTTACTTTCGAACATCTTTCAGAGATTCAGTTAGTCATTTGAGAAGAAAGTCATATTGATGTTTTTGCTACGACCTTTTCGCTGTTTGTTATAGCGCTCCCCCATAATAGCTCAACCACGCATTCGATAGCCCTGTGAAGAGCTCAGCGCCTCTGGTCTGAGCACAGCAGTGGGTCTACGGAAGTTCAGTTAGCACTTGTATCGGACATAGGACCGGTGGGGGCCCGACCGAGCACCCCCCCCCCCCCACGGTCGGCGACGGGAACGCAGCGAGGTCGATTTGTTAGAGGCTAACGTGCGTTGTATTGGTGAGCGAGTTTCAGCCTACTATGGATGGTGACAGTTCCAACCATTGCATTGTGGTGATTTGTCATATGTTGTCAGTTGTGATTTTGTGTTGCCTGGAGCGATTCTTACTTCTTAGCAACCAAAGACGTCTTATCTTCAAAGTCAAAGTGCCGTTTTATCTTTAGTGAAGTTAGAGTTGATTCATTCTTTGTGCATGTAAGACGGATGGACGTTCAGTTTTCCTTTAAATTAGTCAATAGTCATAACGTCGTTTGGATGATGTTATGTTGTACAGACGATAGTTAACGTTGAAATACTCCAGCAGTATTGTACTAAATAACGGCTAGTGCCGCGTAAGTGGCTGGTTACTTGGCAGTTCAGTATTGATATATGATTTACGGTGCTTGTTATGTGTATGCTGAGTGCACTTTTATAAATAAACATAAAAACATCAACCGTATCATTACATACTGGTCGGATCACCGGTAGTTGTATCATGCAATGCGTGTCCTGAATCGCCACTGCTTTCTCGCCGAGCTGATATCTAAAAGTGGCGCACTGTGGTTTCCATTGTGTACTAATCTACCTCCTTCAGTGCCATCAGCGCTCGAGTCCGTCATCGAAGGCTGGGTTCGCTCCGCAGTATCGGTCGCTTTTTTTGTGTTGCTCCGAGATGATCTCTAGCCAGTGTCAATGAAGTCGATGACGAGAACGAAGGCATAGAGCCAGGCTTCCCTCTCTCCCTCCCAAGCCCCAATTAGTAGGGGCTATGCATACCCATTACCAACAACTGACAAAGCTGCGACCACACGTTAGCTACAGAACGTCGTTTATTCGGTCCAAGTTGACAGGTCAAGCGTTGAGCTGCACAAGCGATTATTAAACACCAGGCTACATACAGTTGTCATGGTATGCAGCACATGTTGATATACCCGATATGCCACGCAAGTGACAGGTACTGTCGTCATTTAATGACTTTATGAAACATATTAGACGTAATGACAGTAACAATCAGCCGACAGTATGGCTCACAGTGAGCCGTCAGTCTGTGACAAACTTATCATCTCACGCCACTATAAGTTGCCATCCGTCATCATCCACTGACGCCCAAGCACCTCGACGGTCATCGGGCGTAATCAACTGCCGCCCCACCAGATGGCAGCACAAGCTGCAGGACCCGTCCGGGCGCTAATAGTAACTTGTCCCTACCGTGGGCCCATTATCAGCTCCCGCTTCACCACATATTAGCTCCCTCTCCCATCAAACATCACCAGTGACTGACGACACGTCATCAGCTGCTGACGATCCGTCATCAGTGACTGACGGTCCGTCATCAGCGGCTGACGGTTCGTCATCAGCGACTGACGGTCCGTTGTCTGCGGCTGACGGTCCGTCATCAGCAACTGACGGTTCGCCCTCATCGGCTGACGGTTTGTCCTCAACGACTGACGGTCCTCAGGGCCGCCATGATCTCCTGGCCGCTGGCCGGACACAGCGGGTACATCTCCCCACAGCGCTCTGCCTCCCCGAACCTCTGCCCACGGTGGAAGGCGCTCACATAACGCTGCCTGGCGGGACTCATGGTGCTCTCCAGTGCAGCCGCCTCGGACCTGTGGTACAGGGAAGGAAGGTGTACTGTCAGCACAGGGTGGCTATCGTAAGTACACACTACAGAGCTCTTAAAAATGGGCGATAGATGTAACATTGTTTATCCTGGAACAAGGAATAAAAGACGGCAAATGACAACACATGTGACGTAGTTACATGGTATGAAAAGGAGGAATTAATTTTTACATCCATCAGTGTATGCCTCGATCTACCAAAGTGGCTCACACTCCAAACCTCACACAGGTCATTCTACAGCTCACAGACTGTGTATGAGTGACACCCTCGACCAACATGTTCAGCTCCCCATCCCAGCCCGGACCTATACTAACCTGAACAGGGCGATCACATTGCGCTGCCGTTCATCCATCCGACCCAGGTCCTCCTCCGCACCCAGTTCGCAGACCAGTCTCAGGCCGCAGTCGAGCAGGTCCTCAGCGGCGATCACGCGGAAATAGGCGTCCAGTTCGGCGGCCTCCAGCGCCGCCGTCAGCGCGGGGTCCTCGTCCACCGCGGGACCGCCGGCGGAGAACTCAGCTGCAGTGGGGACCGGGCCGAGGCCGGTGGCGCGGCGCCGACGACCGTAGTAGCCGCGGTGGTGGCTGTCGGAGGGAGAGGGGATGTTACAACTTATGAGCGGGGATTGCAGAAGACGCCTCAGGTGGCCAACCGTACCGTGGAGGAGAGGTGGTCTGAAAGAACTGGACGAATTTCTGTGGGTTACCTGCGTTCATATTTGGGAGACGATTAAGATAGTTACTTAATCACATCTTTCACAATTCACACACCCAACAGCCGGTCACACTGATCCCCGCCCTCATTCGGGTATCAGCATCAGTGTGGTTGACCCTGCCCTCAACTAGGGACCAGTCCAAAGCTGATCGACTGCCACCCTCACTCGGATATCAATCCCACGTTGGCCGATCCCCGACTCACTGGTGGTGGTGTCGCCGCGACGCCCGGCCGGCGATGTAGCCGATCCCTGCCGACTCCAGCGCGATACCAGCCCCGACCACCGCGCCCGGCCAGAACTGAGCCCTGAGCTCGGCACACAGCGCGAGCGCCACCAGCAGCGGCAGCAGCACCTGCATTCTGGGCGGCTGGGGCACAGACAGAGGCGTGGCGTCAGAGGACGGCACACAACAGCAGTCCGCACACAGCATACACGACGCCCTGGTATACGTGGTCAACACTCAATAGTAACTTGGGTTAGATGGCAATGGAGTGTTGAGCTTCGTAAGCTTTGAAATGTAAAATGCTCACAAAGCATAATGTTATAAAATTAAGCGGGGATAACGCCAATGTTGAGCAGCTACGAAGGAAGACGCATGTTTTCTACGAAAACTTTCAACTTATTGCTGAAAAATAATGAACGATCTGAAGACCTCACAACACTAAACATTTCTTAGGCAAAAGGTCCTTCCAGCAATAATTGGATTTCCGCACGACCCACAGAGTTAGCACCAAACACTTACCTTTTCGAGTCTGACCTGAGGATAACACCGGGCACAGCTCGCTGATACACCTTCACCCGGACTCCACACTGCTTTCCTTCCGGAGTTCCTCCAGCCTTTATAGCTGCCGCCGTCCGGCAGATCCGCCTGAGGTCCTGCGCCGCCATCAGGATGTTTGGGGAGGTGTGTCCTGGCTCAGTGGCCACACAGACGTGTTGACTGCCGCCTGGAGTTCCCAGGTGGGCACTGCTTGTGGGCTGCAGCGTCACGGAGCTGCTTAGCTACCTTGACATTGGGGCGGTCAGAGAGCCCGTACCGGCTGGAACAGTGAGTCACAGTGTACTCGCCCGATGGAGGTACCACTGAGCAGAACTGCGCACCCACCGTGACTGTTGGTGGACGCTGACGTCTGTTTGGTGGAACAGCAACTCGCCAGGTGACCTTCTCAGTTCGAAGGAGGCTCCAAGGTTAGAGGCCAACAGAGTTTGAAGGGCGCGTAGGACGACAGTACGGTCACACGGTATTGTTCTTAACGCTTAATGAGGCAAACTGCTTGGACGTTAAGAAGCAAACTAGTGCAACATCGTTAGACCAGACCACAAACAAACTACAATACAATCCTGTCCATATATTGTCATAAAAACATCAAGTTGGTCAGCAACACGGTGGGCAGTGCATAATTATCACAGACATTACAACATTATTGAAAACGTATAGCACATAGGTGATGTGGTATCGACACACAGCGTCCACTGAACCGTGATCAACTGCGAAACGTCAACAAACTTCGTTCGCCGAGCATACAATGCCGGACGAAGTGCATTTACAATTTATCAATTAATGTCATATACACAAGTCAAGCGATCGGCAAACCGGCTGCTTTTGAGTCTCACAGCTCATCTCGAAAGCATACCAGACCCATCACAACAGTGCCCGGAATATCTGTCCCTAAAACATTATCCAAAGGCAAATCACAGGCAAGTACAGGGCGTTGCAGATAATTTGGGACAAAGTTCATGACCTTATAAAAAGTTACTTCAACAGGCAAGGGAACATCATGAACATCATCGCGAACTTCAACTTCAACCTCAGCACCGGCAGCGCTGAATATCGTGCCATCTGAATGCTGAGTATCGAGTCCGTTGTCACGTCGGTTCGAAAATGTGGCATGCGTGATGAGGCGCTATGTGGTAAGGACGAGGGGCGAGTGCCCAAAAAGCTCGCCAGCGTGGCTGACAAACTGATACTCTAACGACGAGCGTTCGGGTTAAACGTAGTTCCATGAGGACCGGCACCGGCGGTGGCGCACCGGACCGGAGTCTGAATGATAAATAAAGGTGTTTTCCTGTACCCTGGACTGTCTGCTGTGGCAGCTCGCGGTGGAAGGAATAGCGAGCGAGCTTACCCTCCAGGGTCCAGGGAAGAATAAAATGCATTCTTTTCGTTACTCTTCGCTGGGGAGTAAACTATCCGGGGAAGGGTAAATTGTATCTGCCGCGAAGGGGTTACAGAGGAAGATTTATTTTATGAGAGAGAGAGAGAGAGAGGGTAACAACTCAACTTGGAGTGATAACTATTTGGCAAAAGGGTAAGTTGAAATGGTAACTCTCGTACAAAGAGTAGCAACAGAGTTCTGACAAAAGGGTAACGAGAAACGGCTTATCCGCCCCATAGAGGGTAATATCTCTAAAATACTCTCCAGGTGAGGGAAATTGAAGAATTTACCACCTGGTAGGTGATAAAAAAGTATGTGGGTCTTAGTATCCGTATATAAGGGTTTACTCGCCAGCAAAGGGTAAACAATTTCAGTGCACTACCCGAGACTGAGGTCGCACTTCCGTGCAGTTATTGGTGCCGATCAGACTTGTAAACGACTCAATTTTTTTTGAGTCGATTCTTTGTTTGAGTCTGGAAATTTGAATCGATTCATCAAACGACTCATGATGTTAAATTTAATTGATTCGAATCAACTCATGACTCATCAAGTTCCTCGATAAAATGATTCGAATCAACTCATGACTCGAGCAACTAGCCAACGGAATGATTCGAATCAACTCATAACTCACACATTTTGATGAATCGATTCAAATCAACTCATGACTCACACGACATTTTTATTGAACTTATTTCATTCAACCCATGACTCACTATAGGCATTTGTTGATTACTTGACTCAAAGCTATGATAAAATGAATATGCCGCATACCACAATTGTATTAAGCAGCATAGTAGCCTTGACCAAAGATTCAAGCAGCTACCTAGTAGGACTAGGTACATAGGTACCTACTTTGGCAAACATGGTTGATGCAGTTTCCAGTTCCTAAGTCCCAATTCCACTTTTGAATTCTAATATTCCTGCAGATTGGGCTACCTATTCTGTAGCATACTGGTCACTGGTCAGTCTTGCTTCAATTTCTTATCTTGTCAGTTGTCACCTACAACAAAGCAAACAAGTTCTAACTGCACGCAGTCCAGAAAATACTTCAAATGTTTGTACACATCACTTCCATTCACACTCAAAACTTTTTTACTACCTCCTGGAGAGTTCATTTTCATCAAACCAGCAAGATAATAGTATATTGAAAGGGTAACTCGCTGCTACCATTATGTGCATAGTAACGGTACGTGGTTAATATGAACTTATTCGCCAGCGAAGAGTATTATTACCATGTAAATATCAATATTACTCTCGCGATCCAGAACATCACGAAAACTCTTTCCTCCTGGGTATCGTGACTCGGGTACAGATAGTCGTTTCATGCGTGGATCTTGTTTACCTTCGTGAAGATGATATTTGAAATGGAAACAATCAGCCAATCAGAAACGAGATCGGCCGTTTGCGGTTTGAAGGCCGCGCGCATCTGTCAGTTTTCGGCCGTTGGTCTCCGAGAGCGGATGTGAGCAGTGTCGGTGCCGCGCGGCGTGGCCGTTGGTGATTGTGCTTGTGTGTTGTTCATCGCCTATAGAGCCTCTGTGGACATTTTATTGTAAGTACCGATGTGCTAGAGCATTGCGTGCCGTTGAGTGGTGCTAATTTGACCTGGTTAACAGGACCCCGTGCACGGCCACGTGGCCTAGTGTTGTGAGTACGTACATTAATTTTGTTGTGATGCTACAAGTTTATGCATTTTGTTGGTGACTTTGAAAAAGCCTTGCACTGTAGTGATCCAGTCAGGGGCGGAGAATTGTCATAATCTCAGGGGGTGCTTTTCTAGCATCTGGCGAATGGAAGCTTCGAAAGCTTGCGTAGAAAAACATGTGTAGGTACGTTTTCCAAGCAGCATCACACTCCTCGCGGCTTACGCAAAGCAGTTTGTGTCTCAGACGTAAATTAAGCACCCCTGGAGCACTATTGCACGGTGACTTTTGAATTTCAGGGGGTGCTCGAGCACCCCCAAAACCCCTAATTCTCCACCCCTGGATCCAGTCTCATTATCTCACGCAGACGGGCGACCACCCAGGAACGCCGTCGCTCACTTCAAATATTGTGCGCTCTGCCTAATCCAATATGAGGGCGCTGAATGTCTTGTATTCATATTCAAAATGCATTCAAGTTGTATCGTGGTGTTTATTTACCGCTTGTGCATTGCTGAACGCTTTGTATAAATTTGTATGAATAAGTGAAGAGTCTCACAATGTTCATGGTTGGTGTGCCCCTCGTATTGTTTGTACGGAAGCCAAATATTGCTCTTGAAGCATTTTTTTTTTAGTTGGTGAGCTCCGGTTAACAGAAGCTTCGTGAAGCTTCTGAAGGAAGCGTCTGTGGGTCTGTTACCATCCTCTGGGGGGTTTACACTAAAGGAAAGAGTAAACATTACCATGTGACAAAGGGTAGGCCATAAGAATATACTCTCTGTAGGAGGGTAAAGCACAGAGTAGATGATGCGTTACTCCCTAAAAAAGGGTTCCGTTAAAGATTTACCCTTTCAAAGAGTGTAACCCAAAAAATGTTACACTCTAGACAAGAGTAAATCAAAGGAGTTTACCATTCAGAAGATGGTAAAAAACGTCTGTGTGTCATGTTACCCCTCCCTGGCGAGTTTACTCTTCATGAAAGAGTAAAATTTACCATCTGGAAGGTGGTAAAAAACGTCTGTGTGTCAAGCTACCATGCTATGGCGGGTTTACCCTTCAGGAAATGGTAAAAAAGTTTTCAGTGCAGTTTGCTGTACACACCCAACAATATTTTGGGCTGTAGAAATCAAATACCAATAACATATGAGGTAAGTATGACTGAAATCCATTTATAATGGACACAAATCCAATTGAAGCAAGGCTGACCAGTTGCAAATCTTACCTGCCTTTTCAAAGACATTGACATACCAATTACCAAAGTCACTGTGCCCACCGGAAATCGCAGTTCATGTCTGATACCCATGGCCTTGGTTTGATATTTATATATATTCCCGACCGGGGCTGGGAAAATGCGTTTTATTCACCGAGGTTTTTGTGCGGAGGACCGAGTGCCGGTAGGCACGAGGTCCGTAGCCAAAAACCGAGGTGAATAAAACTGCATTTTCACAGCCCAAGGTTGGGAAGAGATTTACCACATGCCGTACCGGCGCAACAGTTAATATCATATTCAATTGATTTTTTACACTTTAATCTTAATATTGTGTTAATATTATATCAGTAAATGTTAATATTTATAGTCACCGTGATTATTTTTTTGTGTTTTTCATTATTGGGCTGAGTTGAGTATGAAAGATGAAATTCCTACTTCCCCCTTATTTAGGGTTTGAAAAAGCTGAGGATGAAGATGGTGAAGCGCCAGAAGTTAGAATAAAGATATGGAGTCCAGCAGGAGTGAGGAAACCGTGAGGAAAACTGAAAATTGGGTGAAACGCTGAATCAAACGCGTCTTGGATCCCAGCTGGAACAATATCAAATGTTTCATTGTGGCACGTTAAGATGCTTCATGCATTTAAATTGTTCGTTTTTTGCGTGCATTATGTAGAAATACCTGATGATTATTCCAACCATGTTCTGCACCAATAAATACATTGGCATTGGAACGATAACCTTGTTTAGTTGAATTACGTTGACAGCAAAAGTAAGTAAACACGCAGCCACTTACTTTTGCTGTTGCTGTTAGTGAACACACAATCCGTAAATATCTTCTTTGGATTTGGTTCTTCCGCTCAGAATATTCAGTAAAACTTTGTCTGGGAAAATCAAAAAGCCCTAGGGCCGAATCGTTTCCCAAATACCTTCAACATTAGCCGAGGCGGGCCGAAGTCATTTCCCAAATGCACGTGCTAATGTTAAAGGGATATCTCGGCATGTGGTAAAATGCATTTCATAACTCAATCAGCTTTGAAATTATTTCTATCTGTATGAAATGAATCTAAGGCATTCTCCAGAAGCCGTGATGTTGAACAGATTTTTAGCCAACTGGCGCCGCATGGTGGCGCTAGCAGAGCGTATAACACTAGCGCTCTACTAGCGCCATCACACGGCAAAAGCTGGCAAATAACTGAGTCAATACCAATGCCATTCTCCAAGGCCAATGATTCCGTGTTGATATGAAAACGGCGCATTTGAGCGTCATATATGCTCAGCCTTACGCACGCTAATCTACTGCATAAAGGTAACAATTTTGGAACACGATCGGGAAGAGGACAAAGTCTCCACTCTAGCACATACTAAACGCCTAATGACATTGATACAAAGACCCCGAATGCATTGACGAGTAAATGTGCATCAGGAACGGATTTTTCTACTTGTTCATCATAGTGATACGTTTGTAATACGCAATTACTCTGCTCATGGATCCCAGCTCAAAGACGCTAAGATCAAAATCAGGTCAGTCCCAGAAACTTTGGTTTTTATTCTTTATCTAAGTACTAACAACAAATTGTAGTTTGTTTTCTACACTAATGAATTGGCACTAAGTCATGATCGCATCCTTGCGGTACTTTAATGCCATTTCGATTTTGCAGTACTTTAACGCCAACAAAATTTTGCAGTGTTTTAACGCGTGCTTTATCTTGCCATTGGTGTCGACATTTCTGGCGGACCTTACAGTTTTATGTTTCTCTATTTTGATTTTGATTTTCTGGTTTGGGACGTTATATAGTTGATATTTGAAGGACTTATGTATTCCATTCTAAAAACGAATATCTTTTACTAAGAATATTAGCAAAGGTATCAGTATATTTATCTTGTTCCATATTTGATGTTAGGTTCTGACTGATGAAGTCACTGCTCCATGGATCTCCAGTTCACATCATTTTTAGCAGCTGTAGTAAATGGGGCTTAGGTGAGCATGAAATTCATTGTTCTTCTTACACCTTATATTATTAAATATGACCTGAATCTGGTTCTAAAATACAAACTGTGAAGCGAAGTGAAATGACCATGGCATGAGTGTTTTACTTTGCAACACAAGGTTGCTCAATTGGAAAGAAAATATTTTCTTCTTGCACAGTACACAATTTTCCAAATGAATTTCGGGAACGGGTCCATCTGGTTCCAATGCTGACCTAGACCAGGTCTGACCGGTTCTGGAAATGTGCCAGTCAGACTGGGTCCGGGTCCGGGTCCTAAAATTTTCCAGTTTTGCCACCTCTAGTACCTAGGTACCAACTGCCAAATGCTTTTGGCTCAGTAGGCGCCTGTGCCTGAGCCTCTGAGGCTCTTGTAAGTCTGAAATATGGAGTTAAGTGATGGCTAAAGCTGAGGGGGTGATCTAGCATTGATTATTAGGGTGTTGATGGTGACTTGTAAACGACTCAAATTTTTTTTGAGTCGATTCTTTGTTTGAGTCTGAAAATTTGAATCGATTCATCAAATGACTCATGATGTTAAATTTAATTGATTCGAATCAACTCATGACTCATCAAGTTCCTCGATGAAGTGATTCGAATCAACTCATGACTCATCGAAAAACGGTTTGATTCTGAGTCGATTCACGAATCAACTCAGAGTCGTTTACAAGTCTGGTGCCGATCTTCTTTGACATCTGAAAAGGCGACGCCGCTACCTTTCACAAGAGGGAACATAGACAATCACTTACTACGCAACGACACGACAGCACCGGCAGCGCAGAATATCGTACCAACCGGAGGCCAAAGGCAACGTTGGCTTTCAGTTCGTTGTCAGCAATCAATTGAGCCGCAACAGAAGGAACGAGAAGTTACAAAGAAACCCATTGTCCCTCATCCAAGAAGTGGTCTCCGCAAAGGAAATGCAAACAATGAACGCCCGAAGACACTCGTCGTCAGGGTATCTTACGCTCAGAGGCCAAGTCCAGTTACAAGTAAAAAAAAAAAACGTTTCATTCCGTTCTAGCAATGACAATCCGTTCCAAGAGGGAAAAGTTGTCACAGTAGGCATTGCAATCACTTACAATGTGTCGAAGCGCGGTGTTTCCCGTGAGACGTTTAGTTGGCACAAACAGTCTCGTCTGCAGTCCTTGCAGTTTGTGTTGAATACACAACCATGTTGCAAAACATCGCTTGCCCGTAGCTCGATCTTAGTTAAGTGCGGTTGGATGGACTTCGCTCAGGCGGTGTTAGGTCGCCACCACCCGGGCCGAGCTGTGCCCGGGTAGGGCGGTCAGTCAGTGTGTAGGATGGACTGACGGTGTGAGGGTGTGCTAGTACAGAAACGACTTCAAGCTATTTCGGCCATCATGGCGAACCTCGATTTGAAACTTATCCCGGAGTATGATGGCACTAGTGACTTTGTGGGTTGGTATGCGATGGTAGAACTGGTGTGTGGCCTGCAAAAACCGGCAGTGGAATTGGTCGTGGTGGTGCCATTGAGACTAACAGGGTGTGTCTCGGCTGTTTATCGCCAACTGAGTGATACGCAGAGAACAACTGAGTGGACACAGACAAAGTGTGAGCTTTGCAACGTGCGTTTGCAGTTGACAAGTTCAAATCTACGAAGAATTGCGAGATCGCCAGCTACTGGAGGCCAAAGGCAACGTTGGCTTTCAGTTCGTTGTCAGCAATCAATTGAGTCGCAACAGAAGGAACGAGAAGTTACCAAAGAGACCCATTGTCCCTCATCCAAGAAGTGGACTCCGCAAAGGACCTGCAAACAATGAACGCCCGAAGACACTCGTCGTCAGGGTACCTCGCACTCTGCGCTGCTCCACACAGAAAAGCCAGGCATGGGCACATCCTCAGCCAGAGGCCAAGCCCGGTTCCATGTAAAAAAGGGTTTATTCCGTTCTAGCAATGACGATCCCTTCTAAGAGGAAAAGGTGGTCACAGTAGGCATTTGAGTCACTTACTACGCTACGACGAGAAAGCACCGGCAGCGCTATATGTCGTGCCAGCCAGAGGCCAAAGGCAACGTTGGCTTTCAGTTTCAGTTTCAACGTCCCGCAACGTCCCCGGGCGTTGCGGGACACCAAATTGGGCACGCCGGAGACGGAACTCCCTGAAACAGAGTTCCTTTAAGTTAGGGCCATGCTCTAAAACATTCTTTAGCGCAGGCTGATACTGAAGTACGGGGGTCAGGGCGGTGAGCTCAGTGAAATTGACCAGTCGATGGTGTCAGAGTTCCCGGAGTGAGCGAGGCATCCGCTGACGGATCGGGGACATCAGTGGGGCACCAGCGCCGCAGTCCATGCCCTCATGTTGTTTTAGTATTCTGTCGTTTTCACGAATACTTCTGTTAATGCTGTTAACGATCTGAAGTGGCATGGTTTCGTTTTCCACTCTATGAATGTGACGTTAGTGATTTAGATGTTGTATTTCTGTGTCCCTACTCCCAGGATGAAGGAACAAACGCAGCGACAGGAAGTTTCCACACTGGTGGCCAGTCGCCGGCTCCCCGATCCGGTGACACGGGCCACTGAGCCGTCGCCAGCAACCGCTGAATTGCTGCGCTCCCCGCCAGTCGTCCAGGAACCAGCGATGGCCATCACTGAGCTGGACACAGCCCTCCGGCGCTGGGCCATCCGAGCCGCAGTTCGTACCCTCCCCCGCGTAGTCACGCTCGTGGCAGGCGGTAATAACCTCGCCAGGAGGGACTGCCGCGTCCGGAACTGGCTCGCCAGCCTTCATGAACTGACGCTCGGTCTCCTGGCGGCCGGCGTCATTCGTGTGTATGTGCTGCCCAACCATTTTTCCTGGGGTCTATCTACCCGATCGGCGATCGCGGTAGTCGTGGATTGCCGCGCCCCGGGGCGTCGTGCTGTCCCTTGGGGGCAACGACATGGTATATACAGGCACGACCCAGATAGTGGTCGACCCCCAGGAAACTATCAGGAAAATCATCGACTCAGTAGCGGTAGTAATACTATGCTATGCTATATTATGTTATGCTATGCTATGCTATGCCATGATATGCTATGTATGTATGCATGTATGTATGCGGTAATGTATATGCTTCCTTTCCGTAATCCCGCGGCGCCAGCTGACGCAGATGGTATAGTCAATAAGGAAATGGCACGCTTTTGCTTTAAGCAGACATTCAGGCGGCTGCGTGACCTACTCCGGAACCCGGTAACGGGGCAACCGGCAGATACCGGCGGGGCGCGGGCTGTCCACATCGTGGCAATAGGAGACAGCCACACCACGCCTCCCTCTGAAGACAACGCCGCTGGTCTGAAGCCTATTTGGGAACACATCCATCCGGGGCGCGGGGATGGGGAGCCCCTCGCTGGGCACTGGATCGCGACAATGGAGCGCCTTCACGGTGAGCGCCCCGCCCCGCGTCCCGGGGCGCCGTGCTGTCTCTTGGGGGCAACGATATGGTCTATTCAGGCACGACCCAGATAGTGGTCGACCCCCAGGAAACTATCAGGAAAATAATCGACTCAGTAGCGGTAGTAATACTGTGCTATGCTATATTATGTTATGCTATGCTATGCTATGGCATGATATGCTATGTATGTATGCATGTATGTATGCGGTAATGTATATGCTTCCTTTCCGTAATCCTGCGGCGCCAGCTGACGCAGATGGTATAGTCAATAAGGAA